TTCCTGCTGCCTCGGTACATTTAACATGCTTACTGGCTCAGCATTTGACTTCCTTCTAACTCACTTTTAGAGATTTTTTTAATCACTAACTCCAATAACATCCCTCCTCTGCCCACCACCTTTTACAGTACTAACTTTATTGTGTGCTTTTCATACGCCATATATCCCTTTTGGTCCACATAACCTAGGAATTTAGAAACAAACCCTACTTCGAGGTATGGCCAGCCTGGACTTTTGCAGAAATTTAATCTGCAGAAAGAGATATAGTATTTAGTTAAACTCAAGTGAAGCCCTGCATAAATCATACAGAGGTGAACCCAGGTTAGTCAAACAGGACCCTAGAAGGTATTTGGGGAATAGACTTGCAGGCAGTTTTATTTCCCTACATTTGATTTACTTCCAAAATCTTGAGGCTCACAAGTACCCCAGGAGTAAGTTGGCTCTCCAATGCTGAGCAGGTCTTGGCCCTGGAGCAGAGTTCTGGTGTTGTTTCCTGCATTCCCACATTTCTGTTTTCCAACACATGGATCAGGCTTCAAACTTCCTGTCTGGAGTGTGTGTGTGCATGCATGTCCTTTGGTTCTAGTCCTGTTCAAACAAGGCAGCTCTTTTCTTGTCAGCTGGCAACTACATGCTCAGGACTGGGGTGTCCAGAAATCACTTGGAACCTGAGCTTTATGCAGCTGCCCTAGAGAAGGAAGATTTTTCAGCATTTTTCTCATTTGTCTTAGGCTGATTTCCAGGGGTTGAGGTGGACAGGGAGCAGAACTGTGTAGGATCTATTCGCCCTAGTATATGTGCTTGCTTCTGCCTTTGTTCCTAAGTGCATTTAAATGATTTAGTTGTTCACAAGGCAATTAGAGGAAGATGCACTTATTTCACACTCCCAGTTACTTGGTGGGTGGAGGAGGATGTCACTCAATGCAAAGCACTCTGGTTCTATGATCTTTCCTTTTAGAATATGGCAGCATTGAAGAACAGATTCTACTCCTCACTCTACTTTCTGCTTGTCCAGTAGCTCAGGCAAAACTCTAGCTGTGAAAGACAGACTTTTTATTAAGACAGCCACGAGTTGACAAAACTTTAAAAATGAAATTTTCTGTGAGGTACATATGACTTTTAATCTCTCTTCAAAAGGTAGATGTCCTGATAAGATGGAGCTGTGCTCCAGCTGCCTCCTTTACAGGCTTCCCATCTTCTGTTCTTGGTAGCGCACATCACTGTACTGATTTTAAGGACATGTAAAAATGAAGACATTATGCAAGCCTCACCACTGTCTGTTCCCAAACTTCTTCATGCTTCTAAGTGGAAACTCTTCCTACAAAGCACTGTCTTTTCCCCACTGTCTGTTTTCCCTATGAATTTGCACCCTGTAGGTCCTCATATAAGTGGAATCATACATTTGCCTTTGTAGCTGGTTACCTTCATTTCACGTAGTATTTCCATGGATGAGACTTATTTTTGATGGACTCTTTTTCTTTTTAGCACAGTTTCTAAACTAAAGGAGGAATTTCATTTTATGAAAAAGGTCAAACAGGGTACACAACCTGGAATGAAGACTCCTTAGGTTCTCAGATGAAAATGTCCTTGTAAGACCCTTTTTAATGTGCAGTACTTGGGTAACCCCGTGTCTTTACACAGGTGTTTTACAGCTAGTGGCTAATTCTCCTGGTATCCCCCAGAGGGCTTTCCACGTTTTATAGGCAAGTCTTGAAGACATAGGGATGGTGTAGGGATTAGTTAAATGTGTGTGGCATAGTTTGCTGTATAAACTCACTCTCTGAAACTTAGTTTTCACTCCCTGCTGTTAACTTCCACAGCTTTTACCATCAATGCTGCTCATTTAGCACTTAGCATACACTTGTTAGTTGTCTTTTTATATTTATCTGCTGGAAGGCAGGAGCCAAGTCTCATAGCTTTTTGTTTTTAAGTCCTGTCCATAAGAGCACTTCAATCTATGTTTGTTGATATTTCCCTCTTCTTCCCTTTTAACTAGAGCAGGCAATGCAGAGCTTTTTCAACTCAAACTCAGTTTAAACAGACAAATGCTTTTCAGGGTAAAAACACAGAAGAAGTCTTGCATAGCAGGAGAGCTGGCCACCTAAGACCTTAAGACACTTGGAAGACCCTCCCCCAGGGGGGACACACAGACTTACCTGAAAAACTGTTGTTTTCCACAGGCTAAGTCATAAATGACTCACACAATGCCTGATTCAAATTTCAATTTGTTGGTGAGTCATATCCAAGGTTAATACTTATAGGCTCCAATAGCTGTGGGGAAGGCATTTTGGAAGAGTTTTAGAAGGCAACTTCAAGAGTCCGAGCAAGCACAACACACTGAATCCCCAGGCTTTTGCTAATGTAATTTATTTTTCTGTGGTGACACAAGATTGGAAACTACCTTCTTAGTAAGAAAGTGAATGACGGGGCTTTTGCTGAGTTAAGAACAAAGTAGAGGTAAAGGCAGTTTTCCTGATATGGAAGGACATTTAAGAGATGTTACAGAATAAACATCTTCAAGGTTTGCTGTGAGAGCTGACCCTACCTGTAAGAGAGCAAAAGAACTCCCCACTGGACACTTTACATATTGGGTTTCTTTCATCTTTCTATGTGCATATTTTACCCTTCCTATTGTTGAGTACCAACTTTTCTTTTGTGGTTATGATCAGTCACAATCTCTCAGGATAGTCACATGATTTTTAGTTTCTGTGTCCATGCTTCTAAATATAGAACAACCCTGCCTCTTAAACTAGACGTTTCTATGTTTTAAACATTCAAAACATAGTACCTTCCCTATGAAAAACAATCACCCAAGTAACCTCTCTTCACACATAGAGTGAATCCTACTCAAAATCCATTTTGCCACAATGCCAGCTTCTGAATCAGCAGCTACTAGCAGAACACAGTGTAACACTCTGCAGCAAACCACCCACCTGCTACCTTTCATATACCCAGAGGGATATTTGGAGACCCTATTTATCATGACACAGTGTTTCTTTTGAGCATACCTACTTTGGGTTGCCTTGATTCATGGCACTTCCCAAGGCTCCTATTGGGTTGGCTGGAATTGGCTGTCCCTCTTTCACTGGCATGACTTCATTGTAACAGCTCTGAATGGATGGTAGCTTTTATACTTTTACTTGTTTCCAACTCAAATGTTTTCTAAGAAGTACAGATCTATAGAGAATGGGTGGTTTCCATGGAAAATCTTTCCTCATATCTGTTTGTCAAGTTCACTTTAGTGATACACAGCATGATTTCCTCTTTCAGCATCAGCTCCACAATAGATTTAGGTCGTGGTGAAACTGCAAAACTGTTTGCAAGAGAAATCTCAGCTACCCTGGTTAGAAGAGGGGTAAGTTATTATTCTAACTGCAGGAAGCCAACTTCATATCCACCCTGAAAACTATAGGAAAAGAGTTGGCTTTTCAAAATAAAACCACACCACTTACCCAAGCCTGTATAGAAATGATTGAAACAGATGAGTTATAGCTCCAGCATGTGTCGAGTAAGTGTGGAGTGATTCAGAGAGTTTTTATATACATTTCATTTTATTTTCATATCTGTACCACTAAGAACCCAGTACATGCCTTACAGCATTTTCTTACAGATAAGAAAGTTAAAGTCCTTTAAAAGTCACACAGCTAGGTAATGTGTGACAGAGCCCACAGTAATTCTTCCTTTGGTTCAACTTCCTTGTTATTTTGCTCCCCCTTTATTGCTTCTTTGTGTTTTCTTTTACCCAGATGTTAAATTGTAGGTTCCAACCCCTCATCCCGTGTTCCACGATGTTATTGTACTCAATTCTCCGTGTACTTGAGCAACATGATTTTTTTTCCGCAGCCAGCAAACGTGAGCATCACATTGACACTCCATGTACTTTCCCTCTCCTGATTTAATGAATTTAGAAGGAAAAGTTACGTTTTCCCCGAGAGTTGGACAGTTCTTTAAATATAAAGTTATATCCCAGTTGGCAAATACACTGTCACACCCTTTCACAAGACTGAGAAGTCAACCGTCTTGTCTATCTATTCTCAGCAGAGGCTGGGGGAAGCAAAGAGCTAGACAATAGTCTCTTGTTTGATTTTATTAATTTTGAGGGCGGGTGTGATCAAAGTATCGGACTGGCGACTGAAAGGACCAATCGTAGGCCAATAGCAGGCATGACTGGCCAATGAATAGATGCAAAAGAATGGTAGGTGGAACCTATTCAAGGTCCGCTCTGCCAAGATGAGCACTCCCAGCCGGTCCAAGAGGCGGAGCTTCCTCCAAGCCCCGCCCTTCTCCTGGTGCCCTAGTGGCCTGCCTCTAGGAGGAGGCTAGGACCCTGGTCGAGATTTGGGACTGGAGGCAGGGGAAGAAGGTGTAAGAAGGTTGAGGCTGGGGGTAGGGTGGGTGGGGGTGGGGATAGTGTGATGGAAGAATAGAGAGGGATCTTGCTGACTTTGCACTGAGTAGACAGTCAGTTGGTCAAAGGAAACCAGGTTGGGGGGGGGGTAAAGGAGAGGAGCTCCTTCCTGAATTTTGTGAAGCTGGTTTTGGCTGACGCTGTTTTTTCTGCATTTATACGTTGTTTTTCTTCCTCCTGCGATGGGGCGGGGAGCTGGGCTGACTTCTCCCACGCTACTCTGCAGCTCTGTCGCCGTAGATTATTAAAGTCTTTGAAAACATGAAACAACCCCCCCCTCAAAACAAACCCCGTGCCTTTCTTTTCCTCGCTTTAATTCCTGCATACACTATGTGAACTACCGTCGAGTTCAGCGCGTGGGAAGAGGAGAGCCAGCGAGTTATCCCAGCTCTCTCCTCGATACCCAAACGTAGCCGATCAATTGTTTGAAAGTTCCCCGCCCAAAGGCCGCCTCTTCTCCTGGGCGCCGCCTCCTCCCCTTTGCCCGCCAGGATCCTGCTGGCCTCCCTCCCGCCTCCCGCCCTGCTGGCCCCGCCCTTGGCCCTGCCCATTTCATCTTCCACCCCCCTCCTTCTGGGCGGTCCTAGCTGCTCACCGCCAGAAGAAAAGGCACCCATTCCTCCCCCTCTTCTACCTCCCATCCTTCGCTCTGGAGCTGCCTTCATTGCAGTCACGCCCCTTCCTTCCGAGGAGCTTTCGGGCTGCGTTCGCTGGTAGACCCCTGCATTACTCCTCCATCTCCGTTCTCTTTCGTCTCTTCTCTTAGTTCTCATCGCCTTCCCCCACCACCACCACCTCCAGCCTATCTCGCCTCCCACTATCCGCTGCTCCACCCTCCGGCCCGGTATCCTGCCTGCCCGTCCACTGCCACCAAGGAGAGACCCAAGGGAGCTGCGAGGTGGGGAGTAGCCGGGACCTGCGGCTTCCTCCCTACCCATCCCTGGCCTCTGGCCTGGGACCTAAGCCACTTGAGCCAGCGAAGAGAGTGGTCACCTTGTCTTCACTGCCTTCGGGGGTAGGAGAAACATCCTTACTTTTTGCGGGGAACTGGGGCAATAGTCTGTAGTGTTGTGAACTTAATCATGCCCTTATTTGTGAGTAGGTTGTTATATGTGCCTGTGGGGATTGCCTGTTTGTTCTACATTCTTTGCTGTTGGCCTTGGGTTTTCTGAGATGTGCAAGAAGTTTAAAAGAGTTTAAAAGTATGGACTCCTCTCCTACTTCAAGGAGGAGATGCTGGAAGGTATCACTCCTGGTGCTCCTTCATTTTCTCCCCGAGTTCTTGCAGGTTCCTAACTGAATTGATCACTTAAGGAACTAAATAAAGACCTTAACTAAATTAGGGACTTTGAGGTCTACCTTTAGTCCTGCCTGAAGGTTTGCCCTTATCTCAGATAGTTTTCTTCTAAGTGCTTAGGCTTGGGCTGGGAACTCACCCTCCCTGACCCCAGGGCCATGAATTCTTCAAGTTTTAAAATGTGGAAGTAATACACCACACAGCTACTAGATATATGCAAGCATGTGTGTCTGTGTGTGGTGGTGAGGTTCGGGAGGCAGAAGCTTTTAATAAGTAGTTTTGCAAGATCATGAAAGTTTTAAGGTCCGAGCCATGGCTACTTCAGTTCATCAACAGCAAGGCTATCTTCTTAGGTAGGTGAAACTGAAGAGAATGGAAAGGAAGCAGGAAAACGAGTGCGAGCGATCCCTGATGATTGCTGCTAATAAATAATGTGCTAATAATTTGCAGCAAGGGACTGAATACAAATTAATGAAAGGTGAACAGGAAAGATTTGAGAAAGCCTTTTCTGTTATTGCCCCTTGCCTCCATGAAGAGTAGATGTCAGACAGTTTAAAACTACGAATATAAACTTTCCCTCCCATTTAGAGAGAAAGATAAGTGATCAGTATAATCTTTAGTGATGAAGGAAGGATATGAAGTCTTCTTAGGTTTGACCATGGGAAACGTTCTTGCTCAGGCCAGCTTTTGTGAAGCCTCATCAGACCTTTCAGTACCCTCATTCAGTAGCTAAGAATAGTCAGAAATGTCATTTTGGACAGGGGGTAAATTGTCACCTATCTCCTACCTCTCTTAGGTTGGGCAAGTGCCACTAGCTTATGAGACTGGTTGTGTTGAAAGACTTGTTACTGAGATGTGCCCAGTCTATTGCTTATTCTTTAGGGAAGAAATCATTTGCATATATTAAACGAATTTTCTTTGGTTGATTTTAACTGGGGTGAAGGTGGGGGTTGAAAAGTTAAGAAGGTAGAGAAGGGATGTTACAGAGTTGCATGGTGACAATTTTAAAGGCTATCATGTTTCACATCAGCTGGGAGGGAAAGGCTGGCCTGGGACATTTTAATAGCCAGGTGGTTGTAGAGTAGTTGCATCTATTTACAGATGATAACTCAGGTTCCAACTATTCTGTATGGGTTTGCCCAGTGTCGTTTACAGGCACTTTCTGGCACTACATCATGCTTCATTTTAAGTTACTTCTTTCTTTGGAAAAGTTTGTCTCTGTGAAATTGAAAGTTTTTTTTCTTTTTAATTCACAGCCTAGGTGCAAAGTAAACCTGTAACTCCACCTGTATGTACAGTAAGTTTTACATGGTCATCATACATGCCTTTACTGGATGAAAAAATACTTTAGAAAGAAATTTTAGCAATTCACATTTGGCATTGAGATTTGGACCTTAAAGTGTATTTTTTTCATTGATGAAGTAAGGTTTATTAGACTAATGAATAACGGAGGCATTTTCTAAGGTTGATATTTTTTCCTCCATCCTATATATGCATAGAATGAAGTAGACTCTGGAATGCTAATAGGAAGATAGAGGGATGGATATTTTGACTTTGACGTCCCATTGAGTGCCAGCATTCTAAGTGGGTACATCTGCTTCTGGGCCTCTCCTAAGAGCTCTCTCCCAGGGCCTGTGCCTTCTTTAAAAGGGTGTCTTTGTAATTAAGCAGCCCTTCCCCCCCCCAACTCCCTTCTTCTTTTGATCCAGTTTTTTAGGCTTATTTTCCATTTGGAGACCAGAGGAGTTTCTCACACCCTCCTGCTCCCCTCTTAACATTTCTGTTCCTTTATCCCAGAAAATCACAGCCCAACACCATGTTCTCAGGATGGCTTGCAGTTTTGTTGTGTTTGGGACAGAGGGAGTGTTCCTAGTGAGGAGGAGTAGAGGATATATTCTGTCTTGGGAAATGCTTGTGGCCAGGTAGCCTCCTCCATGGAGACTGAGCTTTTGGAATGCATGAGAACAGTCTATTCTTCACGACTGTCTGGTAGAAATTGTCCTTTGCACCCATTAAGCCCAGCTTAAACCCACTGAAAGGGGTGGAGAGAGGTGTGTGTGGTCAGGCCTAGCCTTTTAGGGTGGGAAATGTTTCCAAATCTCCTATTACATCATCTCTTTCTCTCATGAATTCAGTGCATTTAGAGATCTGCATGACAAGTTAATTAGCTGGGGACTGACCCAATTTGTTTAGAATTGGTGATCTATTGATTTCCTGTCCTCAGGAATTTTTGTTGGTGTTTTACTATGATGTGTTGTCTTTAGCATTACTTTTCATTCCTTGTTTCCTTTTGTGGACTTTGCTCCAAAATCTAGGTTCCCACCCCCAAGTCAAAGGTTAGAATTTAGTTGTAGGAGCTAAGGGGGTATTAAACAGGCTGGGATGCCACATTACTCTCCTCCATGGTGGGCTTCTGACCCTTTGTAAGGAAGTTGCCCCTTCCACATACAACACACACAGTCTGAAAAAAAAGAAAGAAAATGAAAGAAAGTAGAAGGTCATTTGCTTCATAAAAACATCTACACAGGCTTCCTTAAACAGAACTAGTTTTCCTAGTGTCTTTAAACTCTGACTTGATAGGTTGAAATAAAAAAACACCCCAGTATAGCTGGACTTTCTTAGGATCATATTTATTGCATAAAGGACTACATTAGCATTTGCTGTGTTGATTATTACCTGAACTAAATGAGGCTATTATTGGACTTTTGAAGCCTTTTGTTATATGGGATGGGGTTAATTTTCTATATCATTATGGCTTGTAATAATACTGACCACATTAGACTCAGCCCACACATGCTTGTAGGAAGGAATTAGCATTGCTTTCTGGAAGAAATCTAACTTTGCAGATTTTGAATGTCTAAAAATGAGATGCTATACCTCATTTTTGTAAAAATATTCTCTTCCCAGGTATTATATTTGATTAGCTCAAGGACCTAGAAAGTTTGGTTTTTGTTTGTTTGTTTTTAAATATAAGAGTCTGTGATAGGCTTTCCAGGTGAACCCGTTGGGGAGAGGACCTGGGCTTTAGCGGAGTTTTCTCCACTGTAGACTGTGGAGATGGCACTGGGTAATTTTGACAAGTCAGTTCTCCAAAGTTCATGCTTATCTTTTGAGCTTCACTAATCTGGTGTGCCTTTGAATGACTGCTACCAGGCACAACAGTTGTTACAAATTACAATCCTGTACTCATCCTGTGTGTGTGTGTGGGGGTGGGAGTGGGGATGAGTCTGTAATAAGGTATCTATAGAAATGTGCTTTCTGTTCAGCAGTCTCAGATAATAAACCCAAGACTCTGTACAAAACTTCAAGAATCCCATCAATTTTTCCTGGTCCCTCTACTAATGGGAATTGCCCATAGGAGTATGCAATGTTGCCTTTAAGTAAGAGCTTGTCACAGACAAAGTTTTGCAACTGGTGTAGAATAATGGAGTTAGAACTGAAGTGAGTACATGTGAAGAATCTTGTACATTTTCTTCCCGGAATTTCAGGAGGGACAAACAGATTTAAATGAGTTTTAAAATCTTCCTGGGTCTTATAAGTGGTTCGTCTTTGTGTATAGCAAGCCCATTAATGCTATTCTTCTGACCTCCACTTACACACTTAAAAACCAAACTAAAACCCAGTGTCTACTTGTCTAAATCATTGGAAATTACTTTTAAATTGATGCACCATGATATCTCAAGATAGTATAAATTTGGATGGACTGTGAGGGATCCAGACTAAGGTCAGGGGAGCAGGAAGGCCTAGGTATGCTTGTTTGATATCTTCAAAAGTAGTTTGTCAGCCTCGGCAGGGGGGGGGGTGGCTAAAGAGAACAACATATAGATAGGTACAGTAGAGTGGTCCACCCACGAAGGGCTCTTTTATTTTTTTATAAATTTTACTTATGTATTTGCCTTTTTTGCATGAGTGCTGTGTCTGCATGTCTGCCTACATGCCAGAAGAAGGCATCTGGTCCCATTAGAGATGGTTGTGAGCCACCTTGTGGTTGCTGGGACTTGAACTCAGGGAACTTAGGACCCATGGAAGAACAGCTAATGTTCTTAACCATTGAGCCCACAAAGGGCTCTTTTATTTGCGAACTTTAGACATAGTGAAACTTAAGTTTCATAGACTTTTAATTATTCTTTATTAAATACAATATTGTCTGCACGTGATATCTAATTTTTGATAGATTCATTCCTGGTAAACTAATAGCTCTTCACAAACTGAATGAAATTTCTTCAGCCAAAATGCAAATACTGAAATCTAAGTCTGTAGCATGTACACATTTCTAAGTGAAGTATAGGCATATGTTTCATACTTTGTGCTCCTGGGGGAAGAAATACAGGTGGGTTTATTTGGTATCAGTTCCTATTGCAACCCCTGCAACAGAGATTTGCTTGACATTTGTGAAGTCACTCTCACTCTTTCTCTGGCTGCCTGAAATGGCATTAGTCTGTGTGACTTGAAGCCAGGGTTTGGGATTCTCTGCCCAACCCCTATCTGACTTGCCATGTGACCAAGGGTAGCTGAATTAGCTGCTCTAAGCTTCAGTTACCCTTCTGGGAAACGAGGATATTAATACTTCACAGAGGTGTTTAGGCATGCTTCATATTGGGTATATGCTTTGAGGTCGCTGGAAGCGAGGTGTTTGCATGATGGTGGAGCGGGGTTAGTAGAGGCTCCTGAGCAGGTGTTCGTATTTAATGAGCTTTTTCTCTCTGATAACATACAGTACCCTTTGGTGTGCCCTATTGCCTTACTGAGTATAATTAAGACTGAGTCTTATTGAAACTCTCGACATTTTTTTTTAATTTAAAAGAATTAAACATTTTCATATTCTGTGATAGGTGGAAAAGGAAAGTAGTGACAGTCAGGGTAAGGAAAATAGTTTGAGAAAGAGAGATAAGTTAGAATGCACCCTAGTGTCCAGGGAGTTCTTGAAAACCCCTTCAAGCAGTTAGAGTAAAGCAAATTTTGATGTGTCTGTGTTTTTAGGAAGAAAGTTTTGAGTAATACTTGCCTGTGACAAATACTGGTGATAGCCAGTAACTGAAACCCAGCTATTGTAGTGTTTTGTGCACAGCTGGTTTTTATTAATGATGGAATATTTATGCTTGCTCTACAATCCATGGCTCATTTCCATGTGTATGTCAGAACTTAAATACCCCCAAAGGCAACATTAAGATAACATTAAATATAAATGTGGCCAAACTAGAAAGGGTGCATTTGGGGGGTACCTGTCATATTTATTGGTGTTGTTTTAGATTACAATAGCTGGTCACCTTTACACAGTGATGCTGATCTTTCGCCTTCTTATAACATTCCACAGTAAACTTCAGGACAAGTGATTGCCCCCCCTTTATGGTGCACATGAAACTGATGTATGTATTTTTTAAGAGCATTTTTCCTGGCACATGCTTCTCATTATCCGAGAGGCCTGGACTCAATCAGTAAAGGAGCAGAGAAACCACATAATTGAAAGGAGAATGACGGTGGTGCATACTTGGAATATTTGTGGGAAGGGGATTGCTGACATCAGAAAATGTAGTGGTCTGAGTGTTAACAGCATTGAAGAGAAATCAGCTTTCTGTGTTTCTGTGTATTGAGAATTATTTTAAGGAGATACAAATATGGGCCAGGTTTGACATCGTTTATGAAGTTGTCCTGGAAATTTTGATGAAGGTTGTTATAGAAAAGTTCAATTAAAATCTTCCCTATTTGGAAGCTAATTAGCGCATCCTTTACTCACTCATTTCAGTTGTTTTCAAGGGACGCTGATTTGCATTGAATTAGTGACATTCTCCCTCATGTGATAGCAAACTAAGATTAAAAATAAAATCACAGATGAGGAAAATCATTTTGATTGCCAATTCTGAAGAAATAGAATTTCCTCTGTTACCTTGGGCTTTCCATGTAGATATTTGTTTTACTCCATTTATACAGTGATCCCAGTTTAATTTAGTATCCAGTTTTACCTTGTAGATCATGAGTTGTGACCCACAACTTAATAATAGGAGTTCTCTGTGTGAATTGGGAAAATATAATGGATCATAACACACTATTTTATTACAGTAGTCTATTTTCTATTATTTTCTCCTCTCTTTTTCTGTCTACCTACCCCCCCCCCGTGTGTGTGTGTGTGTGTGTGTGTGTGTGTGTGTGTGTGTGTTTGCCTGCACACATGCATATGTCAGGAGGGGAGAGGGGGAGAGAGGAAGAGGAGAGAGAGAGAGAGAGAGAGAGAGAGAGATTGTTTTCTAAAACAGTTTTTGGAGCTAAGAAAATATTGATGACCAGCTTTACCCCCTAGATCATTCTTTTTGCATGAGGTTGCCAATTAGGATTGTATAGGGCAGTGTGGTAAATTTTCTGACCTGGTTTTTCTGTGACCAGGCTAAGCAATGCTCCCTTGGTAGCATGAAAAGGAAGGGTTAGGGTGGGGCTAACCATAAGCATAGGCTTCCTAATAGTTTGAATTTTACTTCACCTCTTTTAGGGAAATAAATAACGACTTCTAAGATTTCAGAACCATCTGCAGAAGAATAGATGTTCTGTAGAGGGATAAAATATAAGGTCTATTTTGAGCCTTTCCCTCCACAGCTTGCAGGAGAGGGTCATTCTTTATATATACAGAGTCCCTGATGCCTTCCCCACAGGCCATGCCAGTGTTAGTTTCTGTCAGTGAGACAGTTACTTAGGCTATATGATATGTGTCATAACTGATCTTACTCTAGTCCTTCCTTGAGATGGCAGGGTCTAGATTCAATTCTACAAGGCAACAATGTCAAACTAGGTTTCTGGTTCTTGCAGATCAGCAGGAGGAGGAGGGGCTACCTCTGTCTTAGGAGAGTGACTCAGGTTCTTTGGCATGAAGATATGAAACACTGGCTCTTATCCATGCACCTGCTGGATGCCACACCTGCAGTCAGCACCTGAGTTCTACTCAGACACAAAAACGCGACTGAAGGCAAATGGGGCTCCTTTTCACAGTCATACAGTAAAATGGGGGACTCCAATTATGTCAGCACAACATGCATGAGAGTTAAATGAAGTGAGTCGTCCTCCTGTTAGCTTGGGGAAATGTCTTAATACTTTCTTATAGATGAAATACATACTTAGACATATTGTTGGAGTGCTGAGGAGATTTGGCTTTTGGAATAAGTTTCTCTTACTTTGAATTAAAATTAAAGTTTAACTAAAATTTCTGTTGTAAACTGTCTTCTTCAAAATTAGGCAAGACATTTGTGGAAGGGTTTCTCTTTTACCTGAACATAGGGCAGGAAGTCACAAGATTTGCTTACTGATCCTGACCCTACTGGTGAGCAACAGTGAAAACTTGATCCAGTTAGTTAACATTAGCTATCTTCTCTGGATTCATGTTTCTCCAGTTTTAAAGTGGAGTTAATCACATCTGTCTTGTCTTCCACCCACAGCTGCTGAGAAGGCTACCAGAAGCGCAAGAACCGTTGACTCTTTAGAAGGAAAGCTGAGAAACTAAAGGTAATAATAATGTTAGTATTCTAAGTCTTTTATACCTTTTCTTCTGTGTTAGCCTCTCTCAAAGTCTTTGGAGTTGTTATTACTCTTTATGCACTTATTGAGCACACTGAAAACACGAGTTAGTGTTTCAGGTACTGGGATAGAAATAGCTTATACCCATCCCATCTGCTCTAAGAGCTCATATTCTAGCAACTTGGACATTCAGCTCTGGCTCAACTTGCTGTGATTTCTCCAAGCTTAAAGCCCAAATGAGGAGAATTACCTTCGTTTTTGTCTCTGGATTATGACAGGAGACTTACATCCCCGAAGCAAGGTTGTCCTATTGAAATTACGTAGAGGAGGGGACCTGAAAGTAAATGTAGAAATTTGTTCACATTTCTAATGTACACAATCCTCAAGTAGTTTTCTTCAGGAGTCTATCATTCTTTCTCCCATGCTGAATTCTGTTCCTATTCTGTGGTTCAACTCCCTCTTAGGCCTTTAGCACTTCAACACATACCAGTGACTTCCAAAGATATATTTCAGTATTATTTGAAATCATATTGATCCACAAATTCAGGGCCTTCTATTCAGCTCAAAGATTTTTTTCCTTTCTGCCTAGTCAGAGATATAGTTCATGGCTCTATTCTGCAGAAGTATTAGATTAGACCCACCTTTTCCAGGATTTCCTGATGCCTGAGCTTGTATTATTTGTTGTTTTTTTCTACTCCAGTGTCTTGGTCTATGTGAAAGCTAAACACTTTTGGCTATAGTAAAAGCTCACTAAATGGTGATGAGTAGTCCACTGTGATTAGTGCTAAATTGATGTGTATACAAAGGACCATAGGAACATAAAGAGAACAGAATTCATTTTCCATACTGAGCAGAATTCAGGGCAGGGAAGAAATGGAGAATGAATAGTGAAAATCTTTGAAGGAAGGGCTGAACTACACTTTTCTGAGAGTTCTAGAAAAGAAGTAAACAAAATGGCCATCATGTGAAGCCAGTGGCATTTCTGGTCTGCTGCCTTCACTGTCTAAAACCTGGGTGGTTTTTATGGTCAAATATGAATAAACCTGTGTTTATAACACATTGACCATTTACACCGGTGACATGTATTCATAATAGTAAATCAGGTCACCCTTTAATGTGCTACTTTCATTGAAGCAGTAAATAGAGCCATGTGCACAGGCTTCTTGCTCATATGCATTCAGTTTTAGATAGCAACATACCCATTAGGATAGATTGAAGATTGGGAACTCAAAATGAACAAATTCCATTCTCAGAAAGTAACAGGCTAGGTCACCAGAACTGAATGTCTTCAAGCTGACTGTCAGATCTTTCCAAGGGCAAAAATGAAAGATGATATAAGCCATTATAGGCCATGAACCTGTTCTCACCCATCTGATGTTCTTACTAATTAGCTTCTTGGCCAAGTGGCAATTTGGGGCAAGTGCATGCAAGCTAGATTCCAAGGGGAGCCCGCATTCCACTCTCTGCCATTTCAAAAGGCACTAAGGTCTTATACTGCTTCACTTGTCCTTAGCTTCCCAGTGTCCCCAGAGCCCTGCCCTGACCTGGTGGAGAAATGGGGCAAAAGAACATTATTTTTAATGAAAGAAAGATTTCATGTGGCTTTGGTATGCTGCTATTTTTGTTTGTTTGTTTTTTGTTTTTAATGGATTGTCACAAACGTTTGTGCTCCTTGATCCATTAGTGCTACTTGTGGGATTGTATCATTAAGAAGCAATATCTTTATTAGGATTAAGATTGTATTAATATCATTAAGAAAATATACTTTTCCAAAATATGGCAAAGGGTTAAATCACAAAGATGTTTTTATAACACTATTTAGACTAGCACAAAGCTGGAAGCCATTTGACTATCTTAATTGGAAAATGGGTGAGTGCATGACCATTACAATATATGTTATGACTTCTATGCCAAAACATGGGCAAAAGGGTTATAATAAAATGAAATGTAAGATCCCATATTATGGGTATATTAGTATTTCTTTGTGCTGGTTGTGGTGGCTTATACCTGTAATCCCAGAACTGGATAAACTGAGCAGAATGATTACCACGAGTTTAAGACTAGCATGAACTACACAGTGAGTTCCAGGTTAGTCTGGGCTACACAGTGAGACTCTCTCTGAAAACAAAAACAGGTGTTTTTCATTGCTTTGCAAAGGTCGAAATAGAACTTCAAAAATACTAATAATACTGAAGTGCTGGACTTATGAGTGATTTATCTTTATTATAAATTTTTGCACACTGTGTTTATGTTGTTTAAAAAAATAAAGTGTAAATAACAATACCATAGTGGGAGGAGATTGTAAAGGCAGCAGGTATCTAGGGAGATTCTTATACTTTCTTCCTTTTAGGTTCATCCTGTTCTTATGGATCCCTTATACTTTTTCTGAGTCATTAAGTGTCCAGATGTGGTTACACGGTCTAGCAATCCTCTTTATAAATGGATGTATATCAGAGGATAAAGAGTGGTGGGGACAGGATTCGCCTCACTACTCTGTGTTTCACTGGCCCCTCCACAGTCAACGTGATAACTTTGTTGCCCATTAATAATTTCGGGTTAGTTGCTTCAGGCCAAGATAAATGACAGTGTAAGTGGGATAAAAGATGGCCAATTCTGATCTGGGCAGGATGACTCAGAAGGTTAAGGCACCTGCCTCTGGGAAGACTTGAGTTCCATCTCCAGGATCTGCATGGTATAAGGAGACAGCTCACTCCCACAAGTTTATGTCTCATCTGTGTATGCACAACATGGTGTACATGCCCACACACTGGTGTATATACACACATACAAACACATACACAATAAATAAATTAAAATGTAGTAAAATGTTTAAATGAATTAATGTTTTAGAAACAGATTTCTCCCATGATCCTCAGTAGGAGTAGAAAATTCCAAGGCCTTACAGTAATTTTTCCGTGTGATCTAGGCAATGAATGACATAGGAAAGAACTGATGCTCACTCTTCCCTTACACATTTTTAAGCAAGAGTAAATGCCTGTTCGAGATGCAAGTTACAGGACTGTGGGGCATTAAGTGATCTCCCAAGAGTCTTCTGAATTCTGGCTGTTGGTGACTTAAGAAACCCAGCACCAATAACTGAGATGCAAATAGGGACTTTAAATCAAATAGCTTTCATAATTTTATTAAAGCATCTAGAAAAAAAGCTAAATCAGCATAAAAATTATAGTAATAGTTAACTTTGGGGGATCTTTACTGTGTATCAGGATCTATGCTTAACATTTTACATGGAATACCTCTACTACTCTTAATCTTGGTAATCATCTTATATTGTGTGTACATCATCGAGGAGGTAAAGAAAAATGGATGAGGTCAATTAATGAAGACCTTGATTCAGGATTTGAACTTGAGAAGTGAGACTATAAAACTCTTGACTGTGGTGCTTTTACTGTTTCCCCATTACCTATCAAACTCAATGATATCTTATGCAAATAATTGAATGTGTGCTTTGTATTGTAAGATTTCTTGAGAAAGGTGGTGTCTATGAAACACCAGGCCATCAAGCAGCCCAACTTGAAAGCACATGAAAGCTTCCTGGCTTCGTTGTTAGATTTATTTATTTGAATTGGTGTCTGGCCTGCATGTATTTGCATGTGATGTGCATGCAGTGCCTGTGATGACCAGAAGAGGTCGTATGATACCATGGAACTGGAGTTATAGACAGTTGTGAGCTGCCATGTGGGTACTGGGAATTGAACTATGGTCCTTTGGAAGAGCATTCAGGGCTCTTAACCACAGAGTCGTCTCTCTAGTCCAGGCTTCTTGCTTTTAATGAAAGTGTGCTTGTGTGTGTGTGTGATGTTTTGTTTACAAGGACACAGACACAAACATTTTTACCTGGATGCTTTTCATTTATCTGGAAATACAGTATGAAGTAGATTGATTTGAATTTAACAGAGAAACCGGTTTTCTACTCTAGCTTTTCCATCCTTGTTTGTGTAGTAAAGGGCAGAATGTTAGCAGGAAGTAGGAGGGTTAAAAAGAAGACCTAATAGGCTTATTGCAAAATTTATTTGAAGGGCAAAAATATGGTTTGTTCTGGCCACCTTGTAATGTTGATTTTGCTGGGTCTTGGCTTGAGAATCATCTGAACTCTCACTAAGGTGTTTGGCTCAGCGGGGAGAGGTTAATGGCTACAAATGAAGCAAGAATTTATCTTAACCTTGCTGTCTTGCTGTTACAGAAAGAGCTGGATATATAGGTTTATATTGCATGTTTAAAGACAGAGCTAGGTATTTCCTTTTTTTTCTGGTCCACTATCCTCAAAGGCACTCTGTGTGTCCATGAGCAACAAGGTTATTTTATTGATTGAAGATGATGTCAGATCCTTGGCAGTGGCATGATTAAAAGTGTGGGCAAATTAAAGGTTACAGAGTTCATACTATTTGAGTACTTGTGCGTAAGGAAGAGATCTTCTCTTTGATTAGTAGTGTCGTGATTTTCCTTAGCATGACGATGGACCTAAGGTCTTTCAGAAAAAAACTGTAAGCTGGGGAGAACTCTATATAGTTGATTTGCTTGTTTGTTTCCTGACCTGATTCACTTTCCTGTTAAACAGAAACCAAAACGACCTGATATGGAAGAACACAGTCAGTGTCTAGTCAGTATTCTAAAGCTATTTGGGGTTTGAAAAAGGTGTGGAAAAGTTTGAACAAAATTAAGGGGAAGGAGATTTTGGCCAAGTAAGGTTTTCTCCAGTGAAGATCAGGGTGTCAGAAGAAAGCCAGTCTTAATCAGCTTGAAGAATCTAAGTAGTTCTGGAAGAGGAGCCTGTGGCACTTTCTCTCCAGGGGCTGCTGTCTGGAAGCCTAGGGCTTTTCTAGTAGTTCAGTTGAAAACCAGACAAATGTTTTGTTCAGAATAGGACAATAGAAGCATGGGGGTTATTTACTAGAGTTGTTATTCACAGTCTCACTTTGATTCCAATTAAAAGTTGTTTCTCTGCTTTGAAATGAGGGGAGACACCCTAAAATAATTACCTTACAGACTGGAGACAGTTTTGCTTTTGATCATGATTATACTTTGGACCAAAACAAGATGGAAAGACAAATTTCCGGGTTTGTTCACTCTATATCTGCTCAGTTTATTTTTGGCAACATTGCAAGGAAATAATGTTAAATTAATCACTGTGTGGTTTTGTGGATTTTTTTTAACTTGAAAATTTTGGAAAAGCTCCCAAAATACAATGATGCTCATGTGTTTCTTCTGCATTGCCGTGCTGCTCACAGAGCCTCTGGTGTGGATTAAAGGGTTTCTTTTCTTCCTTCCTTTAAAGCGATATGAATGAGTCATGGCTAGGCCAGGATGTGGTTCATGTGCGACCTTACCTAAACACAAACTCTTACATTTTATAATAGCATTGGTTGGACTTGGAGGGATTTTTTTAAAGAGAGATTCGAAGCAGAAATGGTAAACGAAGATGATGGCCAATCTGTATCTGTGGGATGTTTCTCATCTCCAATCGAAATGGAGAAGAATCCTTTTGCTGAGATACTGGGTCAGAGGACGTGCTGAGAAAGCAAACTGAGGTATACTCTGCTGCCTGGAGAAGGGCTGCTGTTTTGAACTGGGTTGGATGTTCAGCTTTCCTACTCTTGCGAGGGTGATTAGCTGTTGATCAGATTGTAAGCTCCTTGAGAGCAGGAACTCTGTTTTGTGAATCTCTGTATGACTCATTGTGTCTAGAACAAAGCTGGCAAATATCTGGAATGGTCAATATTCAATAAATATTTAATGGCTTGGCTGAAGTTTTGTTTTTCTGCTGCCTGCCTGAGGCTGAGGCAGTAGGATCAGGAATTTGATATTCAGTGGTCTGTGTTTAGACCCCAGATCTAACTTGTGAAGTCTGCTTTCTCTTCTGGTTGTAAGGCAGTTAAACTCATGAACCTATCCTGTTACTGATACCAACTGAGTGTTGTTCCCCAACGTAACAATGTTTGTAGTTATTCATCACCACCTAGGGTTCCAACAGGCATGGCTTTCCAAGGCTGTGAGACTTGAACACAGCAGCCCTTTCCAGGGTCACATCTTAGACTTTCTGTCTCTTGGAGACTGGAATCCTCCTGCACTCACCTGCTGGACAGTGGGGTTTGCTTTCTGCCTTAGGGGAGATAGAATCTGCCACTCCTTTAAAAACCAGGCAGCACAGGACAAACAAGACTTTCCCTTGGAAGGAGTAGTTTGGCTAAGTGCTGCTGGCTCTTGGTGGCAACTTAGAAACGACATTTTTATTTCTCCCTCCCTACCCTTCCTGAACATTTCAGAGTGACCAGTGGTTGGACTCTTGCCGGCGCTTACCCTGAACCTGAGTGTTAGGGGAGAGGGAGTCTGCTGCTGCGGTTTCTGGAGCTGCTCATAAGCAAGAGTTCCCTATCCTGATCAAGGCTTTAAGCCTAAAAGAAAGCAGAAATAGGTATGAACCACTGGTGTGCACACGTGTGTGTATGTGTGTGTGTGTGTGTGTGTGTGCACGCACACATGAGTGTTTGACTTTGAGCACGTGGGACCTGCATTGGTATGTGCTGACCCACAGGAACACATGCCTGGGTGCCTATGTGTGCGTGCTGGATGGACGGGTGTGTCATGGGAGGGGGTGGCATACCTTTGAAGGTATGGGGTCTGGGACAGCTCACTGTCTATATTCTCCTGCCTTGTGGGAGAGGGTTGGAAATGATATTGGTTTTAACTACAAACATTCTTGTTTCTACCTTTTTTTTTTGCTAGAAGAAAAGAATTTGGCAGTCATCTGTCCAGTTTCAGGCAACAGAAGAGATTTTTATATTGTCTTGAGTCCAAATCTAGGAACCACAGAGTGGAGACAAATGTGATTACAGGCTAAGTTAGTTAGCCTTTTGGTAGTTAGCTTACACTTTCCCCCCAAATATGGATGGGATATAAAAAGTGCTTCTTGAATTAGGATTGTAGCTAAGAGGTAGAGTGCTTGCCTAGCATGCCTATGACCCTGAGTTCCATTTCCATTACAAAACAAACCCATCAATAGGATCATTACTTATCTGAATAAAAAGTAATAAAACGTGCCTTTGGAAGGGAAACTGTTGGTTCGGATTTTTTTGTAGAACAGTTGAAAGGCAAGTAGTGATAACCATCAAGAAATAGAAGCCAGAGGCTGAGCATTTCCATCTGCTGTCCACATTCTGGATGCCCTGCAGCACTAAGGAAAGGGATTTCCAGGGAGCTTGGAGGTGACCTAATATCATAAAGACCTGATAGGTAGAGTGTAGAATATTCATTTGCAAAACTCAGCACTCCGTGGGTTGACCCTTACAGTGACTTTGTGTGTGATATGTCTGTTCACACCAAGTTACTTCAGATCTATATAGTGAAGATTTCATTGTTTAGCATTGCTGTTCCCTTTTAGTATTTAACATGACAGGATTCTTTCTAAAAAGTCTTTGAGTGTTTGATAGATTGATAGACGCAATAGAGTGTCAAGAGAGAAGGGTTGGTGTTTATGACATGCCATTCTATTTTTCAGATGAGAAAACAGAAATCATTGTGAGAAGAGTATTGGGTTAGGCTACCCTGTAGATTGTAGTATGATTCTGACATAAATCTTCATGTGTACTGCTGCTATCTATTTTACAAGATCCATATTAGATCTTTAGAAGAATTGATGGAGGATGGAGGTAGTCAGGGACATGGTCATCATACTTGTTTCAGAAGGATGGACTTGGATTTTCAGTTTCTAAATGTTGTCAGAGAAAGATTTCAAATCAAAGAGGAACTTCCCCGTATCTGCTTGTCCTGCCCAACAACAGCAAACTGTGTTTATCCTTGGATAGCCTAAGGAGAAATGTGTCAGTAATACCTATTCAAAGCCATTTTCTTATTGGATCACGGAGCATCCAAAATGGATACTAAAAAGTTTTAAGATTATGCTTCAGAGTTATAGGCAACCTGAGAAAAAATAACATAGAAACAGGGTTCATTTATACCTGGTGCCAGCTAAACCCTCTTTGCCCATTATTTGTTCAAGTTTTACTTTGTATTTTATTTTTCCTGTCACATGCTGAACTGCTTCATAAATCCTATTTAGGAGGTGACTTGGCCCATGTCTCTGTCTCCACCTTCTTGCACAAGACTTATATTTTTTATTTTTAAATAGAGTACAGAGAGGTGAACCTTGTAAGGGGTCTTAGAAATTTCCCCCTCTCATTACCCTACTTGACTATCCCTTGTTTGCCCACTCCTTCTATGAATTAAGTCAGGATTAATTAGATCATGGTAATGGAGGAAACAACTTTTTGGCCTAAATGTTCAACATGCCAGTGCTAAAGACAATAAGCATGGAATTAATCTATGATTTATGAATACAATTCTCTGTTTTGTCTCTGTAATGGATGCCTCTCCTTCAAAAACACATTTTCTTTCCTTTTAGAGGACTGATTTGTGCATCAGCTGGATGTTAAGCTTCCTGTTTCCCCTTCCCAGGTCAAGGGCAGCCCAAGTGCCCAATTTCTCTCTCTCTTCACAAAGCACCGCCAGCTATAGAGATGAGAAATTCTGAAGAGCAGCCAAGTGGAGGAACTACGGTATTGCAACGTCTGCTTCAAGAGCAGCTTCGCTATGGCAATCCCAGTGAGAATCGTAACCTGCTTGCCATACACCAGCAAGCCACAGGGAATGGCCCTCCGTTCTCCACTGGCAGTGGGAACCCAGGCCCTCAGAGCGATGTGTTGAGTCCCCAGGATCATCACCAGCAGCTCGTGGCACACCCAGCCCGACAAGAACCCCAGGGCCAGGAAATCCAGTCAGAAAACGCCATCATGGAGAAGCAGCTGTCCCCTCGAATGCAGAATAATGAGGAACTCCCAACCTATGAAGAAGCCAAGGTCCAGTCTCAATACTTCAGGGGCCAACAGCATGCTAGTGTTGGGGCTGCCTTCTATGTCACTGGAGTCACTAACCAGAAGATGAGAACCGAGGGACGCCCATCAGTTCAGCGACTCAATCCTGGCAAGATGCACCAAGATGAAGGACTTAGAGACCTTAAGCAAGGGCATGTCCGATCTCTGAGTGAAAGACTAATGCAGATGTCACTGGCAACCAGTGGAGTTAAAGCCCATCCACCTGTTACCAGTGCTCCCCTCTCCCCCCAACAACCCAATGACCTCTACAAGAATCCCACCAGTTCCAGTGAATTCTACAAGGCTCAAGGGCCACCTCCTGGCCAACATAGTCTGAAGGGCATGGAACACCGAGGCCCCCCACCGGAATATCCTTTCAAGGGCATGCCATCCCAGTCTGTAGTGTGCAAGTCCCAAGAGTCAGGGGGCCACTTCTATAGTGAGCATCGCCTGAACCAGCCAGGGAGAACAGAGGGGCAACTGATGAGATATCAGCACCCCCCTGAGTATGGGGCAGCCAGGTAAGAGTTCCCCTTCTGTCGTTTCCTGGCCTCATCCCCAACCAGCTTCTCTTGCTGCCTGTTGGGAAAGGGAAGGAATGGGCAGGTGTTTGATATACCAAAGTGCCCAGTGGCTGAAGAGAAGAGCAAGGCTTTATTTTCATGTTGATTTTTGCCTCTGAGGATTCTGGAAGGAGGGTCAGTGTTTCTAATCTTCCGAGTTCTTAAGGGCTTTTAAAAGAAGCAGTAGCAAGTTGTTTTGGAGGTTAATAGCTCTGAAATGTCTATCACTTCCACGACTCATGCATCACTTTTTGTGTGTGTGTGAACCAATCTATCTGTTTCCTGTTAGTTTGTACTTTCTCAGAGAATTACTGTGTTACTTTTCAATACTAAACAGCCAGGGAGATACGATTGTTGTTGGAAGAAGAATTATACGTGTGCCGGTTCCTAATGTTCCTTGCCTTGAATTTCATTCAGGTCCCGCTTCAGCAAATGTCTGAGTTTCTTCTTGTTTCTGGAGAGAGTTGCTAGGCGGCTGCCTTTCATGATTTGAAGCATCTAGGTTAAATTCACGTTGTCTCTGCAGAAGTTCTTCCAGATGCTAAAATGCACGGAATACTACTGCCTCCACTTCTAGTTGTGTCTTGCTTTCTTCCTAAGTGTATTTCTTAATCATTAAGCAGCCACTGTCATTTCTGTCAGTCACCTGATCCTATGACTCTTTTTTTTTGTTTGTTTGTTTTACGAGACAGGGTTTCTCTGTATTGTTTTGAAGGCTGTCGGTCCAGCCCGGCCTCAAACTCACAGAGATCCGCCTGCCTCTGCCTCCCGAGTGCTGGGATTAAAGGCGTGTGCCACCACCGCCCGGCCATATGAGTCTTTTTTATTATTTGTATTATTACTGTTTGGTAGAATTTCAGGACATGGCTCAGGGGAAGGGTTGAACTACAACAGCAATGGCAACAGTTATGTGTGGCATCCTGGCCTCTTCCCAGGGGTAGGTAATGATAGGTGTCCATAAGGTTTGAAGCCCTAGGTGGCTCGCAGACTGTGGTCTTATTGGTATCTTCCTCTTAGCCTCTTGTCTATTCATTCATTTGGGAAAGAACCTCCTGGCTTGAAGTCGGTGACTCAGGAGGTAAGGCACTTGGGGTGGAGTAGGGCGGAGGTAAGAGAAGTTACCTAGCATTTCCTGGTATTTCTTTTCTCCCCTCCAGCTCCTGATTTTTTTTTTATCCAGAGGCAATTCATTTTAGACTCCTCCCCTTGCTTTACTGGTTTAGGATTTTTTTTTCTCCTTTAACCCAGGGTGATTTCTTAACCCTCTTTGCAAGTGCCTCTGAAGTTTTCAGAAGACAGGAGCCTCATTTTTTTATTATCATCTTGGAACAGGAAATGGGCTAAGCACAGGGCCATTCAGCTTTCACCTGCTGCAAGAATCCAATTCCCATCTGCCCAGTGAAATGGAAGACCCCAGGGAGGGTCTACACCCTTGGACTGCAAAGCTTAGTGGAAATCCATTCAAGCTAGGAAAATGTCAAGGAAGTCTAGGGCTTTTGTTTTGTTGTTTCCTTCAGTATGGAAGCATGGGAGGCACTGGCTCCTTCTGGCCTGTAGATGGGCTGATGTCTGATCTGATGCCTTGTGGAAGACTGTATTGGCTAGGGTGTGGAGATGAAGCCAAAGCCCCAGCTCAGCACATGGCCCGCCTTCCTAGGAAAGCTATTCTCAGAATTCATTCTCCAGTATTGTTTGTGATCTGAAATGACTCCCACAGTGTTTGAAGCTAAATGGAAAAACTCTTTGATCTGCCTAAATAAATAATGAGACAAAGAAGGGTTTTTTTACCTTTCCCACACTGATTAAACAACCAGAGAAATTAAGCTGCACACATTTTTACAGGAAGATATGTATCTTTTCTCCTTCTAAATTATCTGTGGATCTATTTATGTCCCTTGAAACAACGAAGCCCATGCTGACCTGCCTTTGTTTGTTTGTTTGTTTTTGTTTTTGGCCTGCTGGGCATCTAATCCAGGGCCTCCAGTATGCTAAGCAAGCGCCCTTCCACTGAACTCCACCCCCAGCCCATGAGCAGTGTTTTAACACACAGGTATGCTCTAACAGTTGCTTCTCTATGGTACAGAACAGTGTGATTGAGATGCTGGGCAAACAATAAAACTGCCAAAGCTAGAGATGTTCCATGTGAAGTTTGGGTATACAGCAGACAGATTCTGTCTCAGCATTTTGCATGCCCGGTGTGGGGGAGTGGCACCTATTGACAGATTCTTGGCAAAAGGAGGCAGTCCAACAGCCTTCCAGAAGTCTACTGTTTTTAAATGCTGACACATTTTCCTCCTTCATTTCCTGTATGGCTTGTGAATATCTTCCCAAGGAGCTGCAGCTTGCAGAAAAATTTTAAAAAATCTAAAAAAGAAAAATATATTGAAAGCCTATGTTCTTAGTTTTGAACCCACAAATGACAGATCAGGACAAAAAGTGAGTTTTTGAGCAAACTGCTGTGAAAAAAAGAACACCACCTTATTTGCCTTCAGAAATTCAGTGAAATGCTGGAGACTGGCTGTTAAAATGTTATAAACAATCCTTTGATTACTTCATCATCCCCATGCCCTCCTCCCTACAAAAAAATAAATAAATAGCTTGAATGCTCAGAACTCCAGATGGGGAGATAAGGCCAAACCATGTGAAGAATTTTTAAATTTCTAAATCTTAGTCTTTCTGAGCACTGAGCCTTTTTTTGCATCCTGGGTTTGTACACAGATCAAGTGCTTTTAAAAAAATTAAATCATTTCTGTTTATATAGCAGCCACCCTCTTTCAATTGTTGAAATCATGCCCAGATCTGAGGTTTCTTGAAATGCTTGTTGAACTGAATCTCAGGGTGACCTAAATCTGTAGTTCAGAACAGAGCTACTTGTGCAATTGGAACGATCCAGAGTTAGTTATTCAAGCTGCTCCACGATTCACATTCACTATCACAGAGCTTGAGAGAAGCACCGTTTCAGTGGTGAGAAACTGGCTATAGGCTGTTGGTGGCACCTGCTTTGGGGGGAGAGAGAGAAAAAGAGGGGGGGAGAGGGGGGTGCTTGTACTCACATGTGTGGGTGTACATGTGAAAGTGACCGAAGAGGATGGGGATCCTAGTCATGGAGGTAGCAGGGTGGAAAGGTCTATGTTTGCTAGGTGTGTGTGTGTGTGTGTGTGTGTGTGTGTGTGTGTGTGTATTTTACTTTCCCTTTTTGTCTTCACAAGCTCTCTTTGAGAATATTTCCTCTCTCTCAATGCAGCTTTTGGGGAGAAGCCTAATTTTGGTGAGTGGTCTTCCACATAGACAGTCAGGTCCTCTCTTCTACAGAGCACTAGTTGCCCTTGAGTCTTAGGAAGGAGCAGGGTGTTGGGGAGAAGGGGCGGAGAGGCCGATCAGATTGTCCTTGGGATCATGTGATTCTATTGTCTCCTGGAGCTTGTTGTTCCCAGTTAGTTATGTCAGTGGGGAGTGTTTCCAGCTGCTGTAGGGTGGAAGGACCTGGAAGGACTGCTTTCGTGTCTGCCACTTTATTGCTGTCATTACTCTTTCTTTTATTATTTAATCTTCAGTGTGTTTTTGTTTCTCTGACATATGCCAGAGTTCTCCTCAACCTGTTCTCAAATGGAACCTTTTTCCAGTGTTAAAGTCGCCCTGCCTTTTGATGGTGGGCAGATGTTGAAGCCCAGATGGAGTTTCTGTGCCTGGAGGGTTTCCCTACTTTTTCTACTACCCAAACCTTTACTTGTTTGCAAATCTGCCAGTGAAGAACTGCCTTGTTTTTTTTCCAACACTCTGCTTCCTTTTGTAGCCTGGGGAATCAAGGGGCAGCTGCTTTGTTTTTGCTTATCTTCATCCTGGGCTTATCTGACCCCAGAGACCTTCCGGAAAGCTTGCAGTATCCTTCTCTAGACCCCTGAGAAGCTGTGCACTGTCCAGGGCCTTGACAGGCCATTCACCCTTCAGGGAGGAGAGAGGCAGATGCCTAAATCTGTTTGAGAAAAAGGTCCCCTTTGCTTGATAAGCTCCCAGAGGAGCTGTGGAGAGGAAGCCCAGTTTGGAGCTATGTGTTCAGTATTTCAGAGAGAATACCTCCCAGGCACTGGGCTTTCCAATCCCGAGAACAAGGGCAAAAGATAGTGCTGTGATCTTTATCCTTAGGTTGTGAAAGTAGGATTGGAGAATATGAAATTTAAGATTCCCCTTTCTCTCCCAGAGATCCTCCCAAACCACATGACATTCTAACTCTGTATTACATACACATTAATGAAACAGCTCTTGGAAAGGGAGCACATAGTTGTTTCTACCTGCAAAGAAAGTGGAGGTCCACAGAAGGGAAAATGGAAGCCTGTCACCAAATAAGTTTATAATCCACTCCAGGATTTAGAACAACTGAGTGTTTTGAGCGCTTGGAAAGAAAGGTTATATACGGTATCAACTTTCCAGTTGTAGTCTTGAATAGTATCATTTCTTTTATGCCCAAGTAGTTTGCATGATTTGTTCAATATTTAATAATTATTTCCAGTGACATGTGTATAACATTAGCAGAATATGTGTGTGCTAGAGGCATGTAGGACAGACCCCAGGAGATAAACTGGTTTGAGTACTTTTGTGAGTATCAAGGTCATTGGATGCATTCATGAGCAAATATTTGAAATGATTTGGTAGTTGTAAAAAGCCTATACAGGGAGGAGCTTTTGGGGATGCTGGTAGCTGGCGTGTGTGAGAGAGAAATGTGTTGAAGTCTCTGGATTGCCAGTGAAAATTTAATTGTTTCTGGTCATTTGTCCAACTTCAATCAATAATTCTATAGAAATCAGCACAGAGATTAACAGGGTATTCCATTGGGAAGATATCAGCAAGGTCAACATATCTCACTAGTAGATAAGAAGCTATAGCTCTTACTGAGTCAAAACATGTGAAGGACCCAGTATTTTTGCAATTATTGTGTAGCCTTGGCTGTCTTGGAACTCATTATGTAGATCAGGCTTCTCCCGAATTCACAGAGATCTGCTTGCTTCTGCTTTGTGAGTGCTGGAATGCAAGGTGTGTGTCATCATGCCCAGTAAGATAAACTTTTTAAGAAGGGCTTATTTTATATGTGGATTATTTGCTTGCATGTATGTCTGTGCTCTATATACATGCCCACCAGAAGACAGCCTCAGATCTCGTGGAATATGCCATTGTGTGGGTTCTGAGAATCAAACCTGGGTCTTCTAAAAGAGCAGCCAGTTCTCCTAACCACTGAGCCATATCTCCAACTTCTATACTAAGTAATTTAAATAAGGTTGTACAGAGCTAGGAAGTAATAACAAAAATCAACTAAGTTGCTTGGTTGAGATCTAAGTCATGTTCTTAGCTATCTGTCTTGTCTGAACTGAGAACTTCAGGAACATTTAAAGTTCAGCCTGGGCCAGGAGATGACAAATACTCTTTACCTTCAGCATACATAGACACATGTGCTTCCTGTTAGTGGCAATGGTGGGAAATAACACATCTATATACTTTTATTGTTTTAGTTAATAGTATGACCAAATCATTTGTATTTAGGCATTAATATTTTGTGTATAATAAGTAACTAGGTAACAATAATCAAAAAGCCATATTAAACAATGTACCAAAGTTGTCATTCTGAAACAAGAAAACCAAGTTTTCCTTCTATAAGCGAGAGGTTGGGGATTTGTACAGCACTGCTCAGAAATTAATAGAGCCAGAAGGTGGGAGTGGGATACTAATTTATCTCCCCCAAATATCTGTTTCTCTTTCTCTCTCTTTCTGTTGGTCCCCTTCAGGATGGGACTCGGGCTTATGTACTCCAGGCTTCTGTTTCAGCCCTGCACCGCATCCCAAGTCCTCAGTGCATGTCTTTCCTTCTCTGGGTTTTAGGTTCACCCTGTTCAAGGAAAATATAATTCCATCCAAGCCTTGCTAACTCCTAAATTTTGTGATTCAGTGTATTATAATTAGTACATTAGTGTTGTCTGCACTTCTCCAAGCCTTCATATTGCTTCTTAATGTGTATTATAATTAAATTGATAGCTGGAATGAGCAATAATTATTTGGTGTTTTAAATTTAATAAATGTCTTTGTATCTTTGGGTAATTCTTGAGTGCATGAATTCTCAAAGGTAGTCACAGATAGTAAGATGAAAGGCAACTGAATGTCTGTTTTCAGTAACCAAGCAAACATATTTTCCAAACTGAAGTCTTTGCATACGTAGAGTTTTTTACAGACAGGTTCAGTTTTCAGTCAGGCCATGAGCATTACTTTGTACAAGAGGAATTTTAAACGACTGAGCAATGAAGGTGGAGATAGCTGTCTTAAGGTTTTCATACTTACCTCAGGGGTTATCTGGTTTCATCTCCAAGGGAATCATAGCTAGTGAGCAGTAGCTGTTGGACAGAGTCACAAAATGTCTCGGTAAGAACAAACTCTAGAGTTCTTTCATGGGGATTTAACTCTTCTTCCTTCTAATTTCTCTGAATTTGGGGGATACCTCCTTGTGTCATTTGTGTCTTGAGAGGGAACTTAACCAGATCTCACCTTCTGTGTTTTTCAGGGCAACACAGGACATCTCACTGTCTTTGTCAGCAAGGAATTCTCAGCCTCATAGCCCGACATCTTCCTCGACATCTGGGAGTTCCTTGCTGCAGTCTCCACCATCTACCAGATTGTCTCCTGCTCAACACGCCTTGGTCTCAAACCAGGGTGACCATTCTACTCACCTGCCAAGGCAGCAGCAGCATTTTCTTCCTAATCAGAGTCACCAGGGAGACCACTACCGTCTCTCGCAGCCCTCCTTGCCTCCTCCAACAGCACAGCAGCAGCCAGGAGACGCCTACTCGGCTATGCCTCGGGCTCAGCAGTCTGCTTCTTATCAGCCCATGCCAGCTGATCCTTTTGCCATCGTCTCTAGAGCCCAGCAGATGGTTGAGATCCTCTCTGATGAGAATCGGAACTTGAGGCAGGAGTTGGATGCATGCTATGAGAAGGTGGCAAGACTGCAGAAGGTATGGCTCCCCTTAAGGGTCAATAGAGACTTCTTTGAATTTTACTTGTGGGACTAGTTAAAAACCCGTAAAAACGTTTCATCTGTGTGTGCTTACCCTCTCTTACGGGTAGATCTTTGAGATTCTTCTTTTGATGTTGGTCAAACTTTAGAAAAAAGCTTTGTCTGTCTGTGTAGGATAGCTACTTTTTCCTCTTTATTACCATACATTAATGATACAAAATACTGGAGTTCATGATGAAATTTTCACACATACATAACGTGTACCTTCATCACAGTCAGTCACTACCGTCTTTTGTCTCCCATTGTCTTTAAGAGAAGTAACATGTTACATTTATACTAAAAGAAAAGTACTACAGAGTCCCAGACTCTATAACCCTTAAGAAAACTTAGTTCATTGTCCTAGTCAAGAAGTCAGCAGATATACTTCTTCATAAAGAATATTAGTAAGGCCTGTGCTCATGGAAAGCCTGCCAAAATTTAAAGGCTTTTTGTCTTGATTGTATTTTCCCCATGTGATTTTGAATCAACTATAAAGCTATAGTTCGTAGTTTCTAGAAAAAAAAAAATCCCACCAACTGAGATTTTGTATGGTTCAGGAAAAGGCTGACAGTGGTTTTCCTTGTGGAAGTTTTCTTCTTCATTCTTCTTTGACACTAGCCCTCCTCTCCACGTTTGCTTTGGTCTCTCTCCACAGATCCACTTGAACATCTGCTCTAGTGTGTGTGTGTGTGTGTGCGCGCGTGCTTGTCAGGGGGATGCTCAAAGGGGGGCTTAGCACCACAGCTGGGTGACAGGTGACAGCCCTAGGCAGAGGAAATAGAAAAAGGAGTGTGTCCCAAATTCCCATTCCTCCCTGTTCCCCTTACCCCCACTGTCTGCTGTAGCTGGGACTTTAGCTTTTGAGTGCCCCAAGGCCAAAATCTCAGTTCTTGCCTTAGTGGCTATTAGTAAATAGAGTTATGCCTTTGGCAGCTTCTTTGTAGCTTTTGACCATGTGGAGTTCATGTGGCATGATCTCCTTGCAAACTGTTAGGGAAGTTTGAGGCTGGAGGTGGGGAGGGAAAGACAGTTGCCTTACTCTGTCTCTAGGAGATAAGAGTAGAAATTTCAGGGACCTGCATGAAGCTGAGAACTTGCCAACACCTGATCTTTTACCTAAAAGAGAAGAGGGCTTATTTTCCATAGTTAAGTGGTTTTTATATAGAGAAAAATATTGCCTCTTTCTCAATTTCCTCAAATCCTGTTGAGGGTTATCAGGGTGCATTGAGAGCTATTACTTTGTCTTGATTTTATGTTTTCTTGTCAGCTTGACAATAGCCCTCATTGTGTAAATGCTGTGCATGAATTTTGTTCATTGACTAGAAACCCTGTATAACTTTTAATTTGCTTTCGCCTGGCCTCATCTTTGACATAATCCCTGGTTACTGAACTCAGATCTTCTTTGTCAAGAATCCCTGGTGACACTAGGAGCTGGGTTGGGTGACTAGTTAGTGCAGGGAGGGAAATCAGAATTTTGTTTATTGTCTGGTCCTTGTGCAGATGTATGTCAGAAAATGACAATCATAGCTTGAGCATCTGCAGAAGCACAGTTCGAGCCAATGCTGAGGTAGAGAATGACAATCATAGCTTGAGCGTCTGCAGAAGCACAGATCAAGCCAATGCTGGGGTAGAGAAAAGATGGGGAAAGAAGGAAATTAAAGTGGGGGAAAATATGGTACCCACCAGATGCTAGAGCTAGAGAGAAGGAAGGAAAGAAGGAAGGAAGGTAGGAAGAAGGGAGGGGGGGAGGGAATGAAGGAGAAAAAGAGAGAAAAAGGAAGGAGGAGAGAAAGAGAGAAAGGGGGAGGGGGGAGAGAGAAGAAAGGAAGGAAGAGCGAGTGAGCACTGAGGACTGAAAGTAGAATGAGCAAGTCCTAAAAACCCCGCCACTCTCCCTCTGTGGCCCTTCTCCCATCACCCACACCAAGTCAGTGAATCTGCCTTTCTGGGAAGGCCTTGTTGCACTGCTCTTTGCAAGGGGATAGTATCTCCACAAGGGAGAGGGGGGAGGATTAGCAGCAGATCCTTCCCAAGCAGGCTGTGCACTTGCAGAAAAGGGACTGTCGTCTAGGTGAGGCTTCTGGGCTGTAAGCAGGAAGCCTCACTTTCTCTTGGCTGCCTCTGGCAGACCAACACCAAGCCTGCTCTTTCAAATGGAAATGTTTATTTTCTCTTCTCCAGCACTTGAATTTCATGCGAAAACCTCATCAGGTGCAAGCCCTGCAGATCTTGTCTCTAAATGCCATTCACCAGTTTTCACCTTCTGTGCTGCTATCTTGGTGCCATCTGCAAGGAGAAAAACACTCTCAAGTCTGCTCTTTTCAGTGGTGTAAGCCGCATTTGTTTGCAGGCAGACCTGTCTCCAGCAGGATTTTGAAGACAGGGCAGCTGGAGTCGGAGTTGATTGTAACCACGCTGTGTCTCCTCCCCCAGCCTCCAATGGGGCACTTGTTTATTTCACCCCCTAACACACCCTGAGCTTTGTTCAGGAAGAGTGGAAAACTGAGAAGAAATGCAGGGTGGTTACAGGAGGAAGACCTAATTTGAAAATTGCTTAATAGGCCATGGGGTTTATTTGTCTTATACAAATTATATGCAAATAATCGCCGCGGTCATTACACGTGCGCTGGAGCTGTACTGGTGGCAGAAATCCTCTAGAGTCTAGTTTCTTGTTTTCTTCCTGATTCTGGCGAATTCTGGACAAGAACCTTTGGCTTTCTTCTCATTTTATCAGATTTTCAGAGAAGTGTCGTAAAACAACACAAAATCATGAATTTCAGTTAAAAAAATCAGCACTAGTTTCCCACTGACTACAGTGACTGTGGGATAAAGTCCAAATGCCTGGCATTTAAAGCCATTTTATGGCCTGACTTCGGTTATCTTCACAGCCATATCCCTCTAGCTTCCCTGTGGCTACCACACAGTGGCCAGCCAAATTAGACTCCTGGTCATTCTGGGAATGAATTTGCTTACTCAGAATAGAATACCCTTCCCCTCACCTCTGCCCATTGAAATCTAAACAAGCTTTCAGGATCTGACTTTAAATGACATCTCTCCCTGAAATGATTTTCCTCCCCTCCCCCAGCCGGGGAGAACTTCTTTTTACTCCTTGTTCCCTTACAGCTGTGCCTTGCTCTAAATTTTCTGACTTGATAATATTCAAGGCAAGGATAACATGGATGTTCTCATTCAGGTTTGTACACAGTACAGTTTAGTCATGTCTTATTAAATAGCTGGCTCTTGACTGAATAGCTGTGAAAGTGAATTGAATTATACTGCACAAGGCTGGCCATTTGGGTTTTTAGGTGTGTATCTGCTGCTGATTTGTACTTGAGAAAGGCAATTTAACTGTTCTCTCTGCTAACATGGGGCAAGTTGCATTACCTAGGCAGATGCCAGTACAAAATGAGAGAACCACATAGAAGTTCTTTGGGGGTCTTCAAAATGAAGTTACTGCTATATAATATATAGCATTATTAATATTTTGGGATTAGAAAACGGAGAAATTAAGTGTCATAGCTATTTTATCTTACTGCCTTCCATGAAGGTAGAAATTATACTACTTAACCCCAACTTCACCCCATCAGAAATACGCGTGCAAACACACACACACACACACACACACACACACACACACTTTGTTCTTGTCCTAAGGAAATCCTGTGATGCAGTTGAATCATATACTGAGCTTACAGTTTGTCTTGAATCTTTCTTGAACTCATTTCTTAACTGTGTTACACTTGCCTCCTGGCTATATATATACATGCCACTGGCGTGTTGCATGTGTGGTTCTTTAGTGTCTTTCCCATGAAACTCCCAGAAGAAACACCATCTTTCTTTTTAATGTTAAGGTGGAGACAGAAATCCAGCGGGTCTCAGAGGCTTATGAGAATTTGGTGAAGTCATCTTCCAAAAGAGAATCTCTGGAGAAAGCCATGAGAAACAAGCTGGAGGGTGAGATTAGAAGGATGCATGACTTCAACAGAGATCTGAGAGGTAAGGGAAAAGCAGACTTGACGTGGTAGGCTTTTTGCTTGATTGCTTGCTTGTTTGTTTTTGAGAAAAGTCTCTACATAGTTCAGGCTGGCCTAGGATTTATTACATAGCCCATGCTGGCCTTGTACTCCAGAATTCCCATGTTTACCTCCCAAGTAGTGTGTCACTACATCTGGCTCTTGCTTTAGTAGGTCTTGTACTGTTTTGACATTCACATTTGCAAAGTCGGGTCTGTGTTACCCATCCTGTTCATCAAAAACGATGCTGACTTTTGCCAAAGGCCAGTATTTAGAAGACAAGTAGCATGTGCTCGGAACTTTGTGTGGAAGGCCCTGTTCATTGTCTTCACATTCCACAGAACGTCTAGAGACTGCCAACAAGCAACTGGCAGAAAAGGAGTACGAGGGGTCAGAGGACACCAGGAAAACCATCTCTCAGCTCTTTGCCAAAAGTAAGTCTGGAAACTGCACTTGCAGGTATGGATGTGTGCATGGGCAGTAACAGGTCTGAAAAAGTCACTGATCTGGATGGAAGGAAAGTTCATGAAAATGTTGCCTGGCTCTCTTTAGCCTTCTAGAACAACTAGGAGAGAACAAATGTCTTTTTTCTGTTACTGCATGAAACACCAGGAAGGATGCTGACACAACCTCTAGTCACATCAAAGGACTGTTCTCTGGACTAAGTCAGCAAAGCCCATTGGGATCCCTGGATTGTCATAGCTAGCTGAAGACACGACCTTAGGGCATATTACCCTTAACAACGCTGAAAGCATTATTGTAGGTGATTCCATATAATGGCTCTGGTAGATGGAATGAACATGCAGGGCAATGATTAATGTTTGGAATCCCCAGCCTGTATGAGGAGTTCCCCCATTAAACACCTATTGCAGTATACTGTCATTACACACTGACAGATTGTGAAGATAGCCAGAGGAGAAAGGGCCTCTGCTACAGCCTGAATTCATGGTTCTGCTCTCAAGAGTTGGAGGGTACAGGGCTGGGCAGAGCTGTGCTTTCCTCATAATAGTGTTTCCTTTGTCTGGAAATACTCTGAGGACTGTAACAATGAATTAATCCTCTTCTTTATCGGCCCCTAATGGACTCCACCCAGCTAGACAATGCCTAATTCTTTCCAATTGCTATAATAAAAGCAGCAATAAAAACTTCATAGTAGATTGAGTCCACTGGGAGAAGAAACTGGGTTGAGAACAGATGAACTGTCCTTGTTTCTCTGCAGATGCCTAAGCTCGGCCTTGCCCCACCCCAGCCTCCCTCAGTGAAGCTCCCACTGCAACCCTGCTTGTTGGGGACTTGTCAGTCTCTTCTATTTTTGCTGGACCTCCCAATGACCCTTTCATGTCATTCTGTGCAGTTTCCAGTTAGCTTTTACAAGTCTGTTTGATCTTCATTTACAATATTCCCTTCCCTGCCTGGGTTGCTCTGTTGTTCCCTGGCTTTCCTAACAGTTTTTCTTCCTCTTTGCCCAGAGCCTACCAGGCCTTTGTCAGTAGTCTTAAGAGCAAGGAATGCTGTTTTTCTGGTGTCATCAGAATCTAGGGTAAATTGTGAAGTTGCTTTTGTGGTGTCACAGTTACCCTGGAAGCTCGTTCAGTGGCAGGAAGATGGTGGCAACCTCCCAGAGTAAAACAAAATATATGGATTCTTGCCCTGGATCTGTTAGTTTGTACTCTCCGTGAAGAAATGGTATTTCAGGTGCTCTCGGAGCTCTAGTTCTTTACTAAAGCAAACTCCATAACCAGTAGAATGAAAAACTCTCAGTGATTCGAAAACTAGGTGGGGAAGAGAGCATGCCTTTTGACCCCTTTATTTCTTTTGCCTTTGGGCATCCAATGAGAAAGATGGGAACTGTAGCAGGAAGAAAGAAAGGTTCTTGAAAAGCGTTCCCTGGGAGTGTACTTCGGCAACCCCAGAGAGACAGAAGCACTTTAACCCAGAAGGCAGCTGGGTATAATCGAAAGGGCTTCGAATAGGTTGAGCCTATGTATGGAATCCACCCCTCAGTTTTTCAGTTGTGGGGGTTGTCATGCTTGCTTTCCAAGTCCTGTTTTCTCCCATGCAAAACAGAGAAGTGAAGAATAATACCTCATATCCTTGCTCTGAGAATTAAGCTAGCACAATGCCCGATACGTAGTGAGTGTTCAGCACATGCTCATTGCTTTTCAAGGCACATCTATTCAGATGGATGTATGTATGTCACAGTGGGAAATGAGGCCAGGCTGGCATCATGACAATGCGGTCCAAATCTAAACTTTGAGTTTTGGTGTAAGGTTAGTACTAGATGACAGAAGTACCAGAAAAAAACATTAGGTACTTGTATATAACTGTATATGTCAAGGTCCCTTGTAGCTGTGCTTTAGTATCAAATTCAGAAACAAAATTGTTCCTCTTAAAGGGGAGAGTTAGCCTCGATATTTTACAAACTAAATAAAAACATCAGTTACATCTTAATAAGACATACTTTGAAGCTACATGATTCTTTCCCGTCGTTGATCATGCTGATGGCGGTTATTTTCTTTAGTAAGTTTTGGTGATGTTTTCTCATGTTTCTTTCATTGCTTTATGTTACCTCATTGGATCCGTAACAACCATGGATTAAAGAAAACAACAATGTTACTTGTGTTTTTTATCTATAGAGTGTGCTTATCCTTGCTTAGAATGCCCATCTTTCTATGTACATAACTTTCTTGTCCTTGCATGCTGTCTTTTTCCTACTAAAACCTTAAGCATATTAGTCAAAGGCATTTCAAAGTTATGATCTGATCATTCCAATGTCCTTGAATTACCTGGGTCTGGTTCTGATGCAGCCTGTGTCTTTTATGAAACTGTATTTTGTCTTTTAGTTTGAAAAAGTCCTGTTATTTTGATTGTTGTTGAATAGCAGGAATTATGTAGTGGCTAAGATGAACTGCACTAGACAAGTCTTTGAATAATACTTGCCCTGTATTGTTCTGAGCATAATACTCCTTCCTGATGTGGCATAAGGTGTATGGCAAGTGAAATGGTATCTAGCCCTAATATTTGCTTTTATTAAGTCTGTGCTTTTGGACTGTAACCCTACACATGTGGCTCAGTCCACACCCATGTTTACTGCAGTGTGGTCAGAGGGGCCTAGAGTCACGTATTTCTTTTTCTCCAGCCTGGGATATGTTAAAATTGACATTATCATCCTTCCTCCAGACTGGTTATTATCCAAAATATTTCAGCAAGTCAGGTTCTGGTTAAATCGTTTCTCCTCAGGGCATGCCTTGTTGAGAGGAACAAAATGCTCTGGTATATTTCACAATGCTTTCTTTCCCCTCCTGCTGCTGATAACACAAGATTTCTTTTCTGATCTCTTGGGAGAACCTGGATGAACACCTGGCGTCAAAACTTCCAAAAATGTGGGTGTTCCAGTATGAGTGCCTCTCCTGGGAATTAGCCCTCACATTTGTACATACTGAGCCGCCAGCAATTAATCAATTGTAGTTCAGGGTTTTCTAACCAGCCTCAGCTCTCCATGGTCTTTGCTCACGGAATGCTAATTTGGTAAATTGTAATTCTCTGTCCACCTATCTCCTACTTTGAGAATAGGTGCTTGCCCTGTGAACTTCTGGGAAAGCTCTCTGCAGATCTCTCTCCAGGCTTTTCTTTTTAATTCAGCTTCTTAAATCTCTGTTAGGATGGAGTCACAGTTTCCTATTATTCTATTTTAGAAGAAAAAATTTATAACATGGTTGGTAGTTGACCTAACTGCTTGTCATGTTAAAATCAGGAAGGTCAAGGCAGGGCAAATTTAGAATCAAGGTCCTGTTTAAGTGACCTCCCATAGATTTGGGCCTAAGAGATGTGATATTTATTCAACCACCCTTGCATGACTGAGATAAATAACACTTCATTTTGCTGTCTCATCTCCTGGTAAACATTTGCTACAGATTTTGGTTGTTCAGTTTTATCTGAGCAGAGATAAGGGATTGAATGGTCTTTGGATTCCATTTTCTCTATTTCCGTGTCTCTTTCTCCTGTTCATTTCTAATATCTTTTATTCATCATGGTTGACAGATTTCTCCTTTTTGTATGTTACTCTGCTTCTGATTGTGATCAATAATAATTAGACCAACTTCTTTAGTGGCTCTTCCATTCTAAAGACAAAGATATATCTCTACAAATGCACACACTCACAAACACACATGCACGGATATGTGTCTACACATTATGCATATACTTACATTCAGAAGTGTGTGTATATATATATGTGTGTGTGTGTGTGTGTGTGTGTGAATACATTATAAGCACACAAACATTTTCTTACTGTAAAAGCTTTAAACATTTACTTAGGTGAAATTGGTACCTATATTGCGAATTCTGAATTTTTTCCTCCTATTCTGCCGTATTCTTTCCCAGAATCCCTCCATACCCAACCTATTCTGCAGAAGAAAGGGTAGGAAGGAACATAAGATGGCTTCCAGTTTTACCCCACTTCCTTTATAAAAATCTGGGGCTTTTAAGAGAAACAGATACTGAGATAAAGTGTGTTAGGCTGGGCATGGTGTTGGATCAGGCTTTCCCTAGAGAGGACATGTTGTCTAATTTTCTTGATTTCAGCAAAGTTTCTTGCATAGGAGGATGCATCTCTTTTATGTAATATCATTCTTGGACTATTTGGTACATTATAATAAGGAAACAATGTGGAAAATTGTGTTCAGCTTAGTTAATTTTGCCAATGTAAGCACATTTTGTAAAAACAAAACTCAGGGAATGAACTTACTCTGTGCTGTATGTGTATGTAAGCACACATGTGTGTTCGTCTTTGTGTTGTGACATTTTATGTCTACTTATCCATTAATTCTTGCTTACCCAACAAGTTAGTCGTTGATTCGGTGGTAAAATCTACGTGTTGTAGAGTTTGATTCTTTTAGCCTAGTACTAGAAGAGTGTCCACTGTCAAGTAATATATTAGTTTTGCTCACGTAAGGCTTTGAGCCAGCTTCAGGAAAACAGTATTGCTATCCCATGTCCTCACAGATAAAGAAAGCCAGCGGGAGAAGGAGAAGCTGGAAGCTGAGCTGGCTACTGCCCGTTCTACCAGTGAAGACCAAAGGCGACACATTGAAATTCGAGACCAGGCACTGAGCAATGCCCAGGCCAAGGTGGTGAAGCTGGAAGAAGAGGTAGGTGTCCTCAGGTAGCACACGAGCCTGAGAGACTCCTGGGGACTCCTGGGCTACTCATGCTTTTGAATGTGCAGCTTATGCAATCTTCCAACAGAGAGAGGGGCCATCTTTTGCTTCTGGTTACAACTGCTGAGACAAGTGTGTTGGTTTTGATTTCATTTCCCTTCTCTGCACATTCCTTTCTTTTGCTCCATACTATGAAATCAGTATAGTCAAAGGAGCCAATTTCATTTGAGTGAACTGTTTTCATACCCTAAGTTTTCCCAAATACCCATCCCTGCCTTAATCCTCTTCTTACCAGCTTTTTTTGTTTTGCTTTTTTGAGACAGGGTTTCTCTGTATTGTCTCTGAGGGGGTCCTGGAACTTGCTTTGTAGACCAGGCTGGCCTCAAACTCACAGAGATCCGCCTGCCTCTGCCTCCCGAGTGTTGGGATTAAAGGCGTGCAACACCAACACCCGGCTCTTCTTACCAGCTTTAAAAGCCTTATTTTCCAAGAACTATAGAATGATTCCAGATATTTTAAAGCACTCCAAAGATGTTGAAATTGGAATGGTCCTATTCTCCCCATACTTGCTGGGAAGTCAAGCCTGTCTCTTGTCTTAGGTCAGACATGCATCTTTGACAATTTGCTTTGGAAATGGAAGTAGTCTTCAGAGGTCTGGGACAAATAAGACCCAGGGAGAGTTTACAGTTTTTGTCAGGAGAATGCATTGGTAAAGACCTTTCTTGTGGCTTAGAGACCAGTTTTAAAGAATGTTATTATGTGGTGTGACTGAATTTGTCAGCTCTTTGTGTGAGGGGATGGAGCCATCCCTTGACAAATACAGGGGCCCCTGAACTATTAAAAATATGATTTAAATATGTATTTGATTAGTCTCCATGTAGAAGTTGCTCTATTGCAACACTAAACTGTGTGTCTGTGAAAACAAGGGAACTTTGCTGCTGGACTGTCATTAATTAATTAATCCTGGATGTTGGTTGTGATTGCACTAGAGTAAAATTAACTCTTAAATGTTTTCAACTTTTGGGAATGAGTATATTCCAACAAAGATATGATAATGAAGTATGAATTGACTAGGAAAAATAAATCTTCATAAATTATGTTTTGAAATTTGAATTGTTTAAAAACAATAAGTGTCATGGATCTCTGGTAGGAAGCCATTTGGGCTACATAGCAAGTTTAAGGCCAGCCTAAGTTATATAGTGAAACCCTTTCTGAAAACAATAGTAATAGCCCCCCTCCCGCCATTATCTTGCAAGTTGAAAGTCTTATTAACCCAAATAAAAACTAAAATCATAGTTTTAGCAACTAAATGACATTGTGGCAATTGATTTGAAATGTCTTCCCTGCCTCCATTAATTGCCTGCACCCTGCTCCTCAGTAAGAATGGCCTGGTTGCAGGAGATCTCCAGACTTAGAGATTTCCTCTGCTGTTCCTTTTGAGCATTCAAGACCTGTTGGAGTTAGGTTGTGATTCAGTTTACTGGGAGATAATACCATGTAATCCATGACATACTTTAGCCTGACTTGCCTACTTGTTGCTTTAACTTGGAGAAAATCAACATAATGTGTTACTTCTTTAGTTCTCTGTCTTAGAAACACTGTTACTTCATAGAGAATGACAAAGCCTCACAGGGGAACCCTCATCACACCATCCAAAGTGATTGATTCCCCAGCAGGCCTTGGTTATTCTGGGATAAAACAGCTCAATTTGGAATATTAAGGTTTAATAGCAGTTTGATATGAGGTCTTTAGTGTATTCCCTTCACACAAATCAGTGGCTGTTTCTGTCTTATGAGTGCTTTTCATGCTGGGTGTGATGGCACATGCCTGTGATTCCTAGTAGTTAGGGGCAGAGGCAGATGGATTTTGGTGAGTTCAATGCCAGGCTGGTCTACACAGTGAGTTCCGGAACAGACAGAGAGATATACAGACCCTGTCTCAACTGAAAGTGAGAAGGAGGGAGACAGAGATTGATTCACAAGTAGAACAGGTTTACTTATACTTGGTGGACTTAAGGAAGGCCATGTTGGAACGCAGAGAGATACACTAAAAGACCAGCCTGTGTCCTGTGTAAACATGCATTGTGTGGCTCACGTATGACTTTATGGACTTTCCTTATTGCTCAGAAATTTGGAGTTTTTCCAGGGAAAAGTTCTCTTGCCTATTTTGCAAATAGAGATTTACGAGCACATTCTCAAAAAAGGCCTTTTGTGAGGGGAGTATTTTCTTAGCTTTTTAAGTTCAGGGTCACTCAGGTAATTAGTTTTCATTGCATCAAGATGGTAGAGAAAATTATAAATGTATTGTTTCAAGGACCCTTGGGGTTCTTTTATATCTTCATCTCTTGAAAGGCCACATGTAGGTACATTCCTTGACATTCATTTCAGTTTTCTAATCCACTGTGCCTCCTGCCTGTATGCGTCTCAGTCACCCTTGTAAGCATTCCACAGAAGGGCCACCTCAGGCGAGAACTGTTTTCCTAAAGCCGTAACTTTCAATCTCTTGCATGCTCAATGCAGATTCCTCTGTGAATCATGCTCTCATGCCATCTACAGAGCTATGTTGTTAGGGCGGGGGTGAATAGATCTGATTCTCTGATAAGTCACTGTGATACAGACCACAAAATGAGTCTACATCCAGGGCAGCAGACAGCCAGATGAGGTAAATGATGCATTCCTGACCTCCTTCCCCTTATCTTTCAGGACACATGGGTCTTATTGAAGTTGACACTGATTAAACGTGTCAAAAGAGCTCTGTGTCCTACAGCAATCACAATATACTCACATTCACAGGGAGCTTCCCGTTCCCTCGAATTTAACCTCACTCTGGAGTTTCCATGGATGTCTGGCATATCCTCTCCCAAGACTCAAGGCAGCCTGGGCTTCTGGCTGGCTGCTACATTAGGAGAATACAGAGTTGAAGCAGTGGCTTGGGTAATTGTTTCAGGGGTGGTGGGAAAAAATGGACTTGGCAAAATCAGAACGGGAAGATGTTGAGGGTGAGCATAGTGAGCACAGTGTACAGGAATGTATAAAGCAGCAGGTGAGAGGACTGGAGGAGAATGAACTCTATACAGATTGAGAAAGAAGGGGCTAAAGCATTAGAGTGTCTGGCGATGATTTATACTTATCCCTCTTGTCTAGATATTTAATGCAGTTCTCAAAGTTCTGTTGCCATGCTAGTCACTTCCCAAATGTGCCTACACCTTGTTTTATTCCACTACCACCAGCATTCTTCTTCAGGGCTAACATTTGTCATTCTTTCTATGTCCCTCACTACTAAATTTACTTAGCTTTTTGTTTTGTTTTGTTACAAAGATAATTTCTGCTGTATCACCTCTTTACAAAGGAATGCATCAGATTCCCCCTTCCCGCAAGTAGAGGAAGATGTCTTATGTACAAACATTAATTAAACATATGTTTAACACTCTCTAATAATTTTTAACCAGTTGGACTCTGCTGGTGAAGTTTAAGCTTATAAAATTGTTAAAATGTGTTACACATTTGAGTGGACATCTACGAGTGTGAATTATGTGTACACTTAGAGGGTTAATATGATAATGTTCTTATGCATCCAGGCATTTCCCAGGGTGTTCCACTGATAAACTATCAATGTATTTGAAAGGCATTTCATCAAAGGATGAAGTTTCTCATGCCTGTGACAGTGCAGTTTCTTGGTAGTGAGTGCTGGTTGTTTTACCCAGCATGCTAAAGAACAAATTTTGCCCACATGCCAAATTGAGATGGGGTGTTCTCTCAAAGTTTGCTTCTTTCATAGATTCCTTTATGACTATGGCTTTTTAAATTCCCCAGGTAGAAGTCACATAGCTTTCTTTATTCCCAAGACAGCAAGTTTCCAGAGGTGGTGTTTTCCTCTTTAAGTCTTTTAATATCTACCCGAGGACTGCAGACTTTTTGGCAAAGGACAGAGGCAGCTTGCTAACACCAGGCTAGTGTTACCAAATTGCTTCAGTGTGAACCCTGACTTAGAGCAGGGTCACCGGATAAAACTAAATCAGATCAAACTAAAACTACTGAAAGCTCCCTGAGCAACATAAAAACACATTGTATGAAGGTGAAGAACAGAGAAAATATACTGTATATATGATGTTTACAAAATACTACTTGCAGACAATAGAAGGCAAGAAACAAATCAGATATAATAAAGTTCTGTATCACCCTCAGTGTTCTTGAGAAGATGGGTGCCTGTATATGTCAGTGTTCACTCAGCTAGCATTAATAATTTTCTCCCTCTACCTACCTATCTGTATTTTCAGTCTTTGGAAATATTTACAGATAGCTGTTGATGTGCCTCAGTGGTAGAGCACTTGCCTGACATGTACATGGCCTGGCTTTGAAGCCAGATAACAACAGAAAAAGAAAATGAATAACAACAATAGACATATGTTCTATCCCACGGGAACCTTTCAACTGTTACTACCATCTCTCCATGGATGAGAATATTAAAGGACAGACAGACTAGGCAGGAGAGTTAGTGAGAAATCTAGGGAAAAGACTAACACCATTAGCCCTGCTTCTTGTCTCCCTGTAAAGAAATAGGAAAATGATGGATTTAGAAACTTTCCTGGGAAGGCCTGAGACAAGTGGTCAGCTTGAGGCGCTCTAAAACTAATTTAGTATATAGCTGTCTTTAAAAAAATCTGTTTGAAAGACACCCACAGTTGTTGGAGGGAGGGACGAGATGCCATCACATGCTATTCATTTGTAGGGATCAGGTTTTCCTGAGTCAGAAGAGGTTATGGGATCTGCCAAATTCTTGGGAATGGCTTCAAATTCTTACAGAAGTGCAGTGGAAAAGATGATTGATTCAGCTCAGGAGGATTTGCCCTGTTTGTTATAAGATTACTTTCCTGCTCTGCTTTCTTGTATTTCTTATGATTTTTAATAGTTCCCTTTGTGTATGTGTGTATGTGTGTGTGTGTGTGTGTGTGTGTGTGAGAGAGAGAGAGAGAGAGAGAGAGAGAGAGAGAGAGAGAGAGAGAGAGAGAGAGAGAGAGAGAGAGAGAGAGAGGATAAGAGGGGGGCAGAGGGAGAGAGAACATGAGAATGTGTCATATAGTCAAGGGTTGGTCTTGGATAAAATTCTCCTTTGAAAATTTGTCCTGAATAAGAATGATTTGAAACCCTTATAGCAACTTGGCCAAGCAAATAAATAGTAGATAGGTAGCAAATAGGTATATCAAATATGGAAGCAAAGGGAAATAATGGGTTAAGGGGGAAAGTAAGGGAAGGGAAGTGAAATATCTTTGACAAGTTTTGAGAACTAGTGTTTACTAAGAAAACTTAAATGAATGGAATGATTTCTTCTATTCACTGGATAACCAGGGGGATTTAGGTTGAAATGATTGATTTTTCTTGGCTTCTCTAGGAACTCATGGGTACAGAACTTGATTAGAAACTCAGAATGACTAATCTGTGGTTTTGAAAACTCATTTTCCACATGAAGACCTGAGCCACTCTTGTGGATTGGAAACTCATCATTTCCTTGAACACTGAAGACATGAAAAAATAAATCATCTAGGATCCTATGAAAAATACACATTTTCTGTGATCTCTCTCTCTCTCTCTCTCTCTCTCACACACACACACACACACACACACACAGAGAGAGAGAGAGAGAGAGAGAGAGAGAGAGAGAGAGAGAGAGAGAGAGAGAACGAGTGAGCATTTCTTTGTTCTTAACTTCCATGGCTATGATTATATAATATTCTAGGGCCCTATTTAAGATCTTAGTTTATTTAGCACTGTTAGATATTGCTCATTGTTAAATATGAAAATGGAACTCCTAGGTTTGTGAACTATGGGAGTTTAAAGATCTGTAAAAATCATCATAAATTGTCTGTCTATTTTAGTGTTTTTTTAATTTCTTAAAACAATTGAGAGCATTGTAACCCGTTTGACTTGGTAATGACTTTTTCCCATAAAGAAGAAAAACAAAACAAAACAAAATGCCAAGGTTGTTTTATAACAGATGGTCTTCAAACTTCCGTGTTAGCTCCATTGATCCTTGTAGAGGTATACAACATTATTGTCATGTCCATGTTTTTGACTAATGAGTAATAAAGACTCAGGGATCAAAACTGTTCAGAGATATTTAAGTAACTTTCTTCACGTTTCATAGATCTTAAATGAGAATGCCAGCATAGGGACTCAGGCAGTGTGAGAACTTAGGACATTAAATGTCTACAGTCTCTATGTTCTCTACATAAGAAAGAATCAGCAATATTTCCAGTGGCTTTGAAATGTAAAATTGGTGGCCCACTCTTGCAATTAGTAATTTAATATTCGAGGATCTTAGCAGCATAGATTACTGTAAAGGAGAGGTAGGGAAAATAATGGAGTTCACTATGCTGAAGGCAGAAGTTTAGAATAGAAAATCTAGGATAGTTAATGAAATTGAAGCACATAGGTTGTGGTACTTAGAGATAATCTACAAAATGTGGAGCATATAACTTAGAAGATGGTTGAATTTGTAAATTACATTCACAAAGCCCTGCATGGGCAGCATTCAAGAATTGTCACTTTCCATTGTGACATACCTAGAGGTTAAGTGCTTCCCGGGTGCTTGTGGTATTTGTGGGTGAGCTATACATATATATATATACACACACAGAGAGAGAGAGAGAGCCAGTTTTTAACAAACTCAGAGAACTTCTCCATCCCATGTTGTTTTTCTCATTCAGAGGGTTGGCTTAGTGACTCTTCTTTCTGGGAGTGCTTTTGACAGGATATTTGGTTTTCCTTTTTGAGAAAAGCAGGATGTTGAGAGATTGGCATGGCACTGGGTTGTTTGATTTTCAGTTTTCAGACTTACATTGCTGTACTTCACTAGCGAGGCAAGAACTGCATTCTGTCTATGTTTAATTGCCTTTAAGTACAACTGCTGCAAGCCTTCATAATTATTGTTCCCATTATCTACATTAACATGAAACTGCTCCCTTAGGGTTTTCAGAGTGATTCACAAACAAATGCATTCAGCTCTAAATAGCTCAAGAACATTATAGAACCCAAAGGTGAAGGATAGAGAGTGATTCCTTCCCTCTCAGTACCGAATGCTTAGCAAATAGCAAGGAAGAGACTTCCCAGCCCTAAAAATATCTTGCTTGTCCTAGTCAGAAAAGACAGGCTTAAGCTTATTGAGAGACAGAATATAATGATCTATTTGTTTATTATATACTCTAGGAAATGTCCTTAAAAAGCAAAACACCTAGACTTAATCTTCCTCTGTTGGGTTACTGTGCTGGATTGAATGAGGCCTGTCTAGAAAGGAAATGTCATTGAAACAGTTTTGCCTTCTCATGGCCAAAGGAGATGCCATAAGTCTGGAGGTAGGGCAATGTAAGATAAATTTCCTGCCACATGATGAATGCTCAGTAATTCTAACTTAGCGGAGGATGCCAAACAAGTATTGTTTCCCCACCAATAAGTGGCCATGCTGTTGAAGTGGGAATACAACTGAATTGTGATCTAGACTCATTACCATGAAGGAGATAACTGGTTTCTGGCCTGAAAAGTTCTGATAAGTCCTGTTGGCTTCTTCAGAGCTATGTGGACAATGTCAGTACAATGAGCCATTTTTCTGTTACAGCAACCTACTGAAATCACTCAGAGTTTAGGAATTACCCACAGTCAAATGCATAGATTTATGTTTTAATATAGGTTAGCAATAATATTTTAACTCTTAATCTTAGTGGTGAAGATAATCCTCAAAGGGAATGGAAATGGCAAGTGTAGCCCACTTGGGAGGGTTTCTATTTCAGAAAGAGGCTCCACGTCGATTTACTAGCATTGGCTGATGCTCTACAGGTATTGTGAAAAGCACAGTCTATTCTTTTGCAAGCAAAATGGCCAGGCTGTCCCCCCATTTTCCAATCTTCTTGGATGTTGGAGTATGGATATCTTAAGGCTCTCCAATCACTTCCTCACTCATTGCTGCTGAGTAAGCATTTGGTTTGCAAGTTAAAGGGCACAAAGAACTCACATTCTTATTTCCAGTTATCTCAACTTTTGCTTTGGTATGTGACTTAGAGACTTGCAGATGTGTGCAGAATCACACTTGACTCCATCATCCACTGAGATATAGATAGATTGATTTGAGTATTTAGGGATCCTTGGCTCCAGAGAAAATGTAGAGAGTACAATCCACAGTCATCAACCTCAACTTTAGAAATAGAAATCCCAAATAATTTGTTGGTTTTTAGTAAAAAAGTAAGTGGAACACTGCTAATCCTGAGGAGACCCAAAGGCATTTGAACCATCACTTTGCATCGTCAGTTGGAGAAGAAGATGTTCCAAGCAAATCAATGTAGGTTATTTTGGATCATAACCAGGGGAATTTTTTGGAAAGACATGTATGACTTCTTTATATCTTTAGTAGCTTCTTTCTCCAGCCCCAGCCCGAGAGAGGGACAGTATTTTAAAGGATATGGGCTAGTGAAATGACTCAGCAGGTAAAGGGATTTCCACCAAACCTGACAACCTCAGTTTGATTGTTGGAAACCAAATGTTGGAAGGAGAGAACCAAGTCTCACAAGTTGTCTTCTGACTTCTATGTGCCCATTGTGGCATGTGAGCATGTGGTCATATAGGTGTGCATAAGCATGTGTCTCTCCTCTCTCTTTCTCTCAAACACACACACACACACACACACACACTCAACGTAAAAACAATTAAAGAGATAGACTGCTTTATCAAATTGAACTTTTCTCCCTCTTCTCCTCCCACCCTTTCAGCATTTATCAACTATGAGAACTAAAATGAGACATACTTTTCTCCCAGAGAGTCTCATTTATAGTAAAGAACAGAGGTAAGGACAACCATAAGTAGGAAACTGACAATCGAGCATTCTAAGGTATTGTTTAGAGGGGATTAGCCTTGGGGAAGCCATCAATTTTAGGAAGGAGGAAGAATTCAAGAGAGGCTCCTGTCTTTGGTCACATTCTTTGTATTAGATACACATGGCAACCAGCTACTCATCCCAATGGTTCATCTCACTGTTATTTCTTTTTCAAACAGGAAGAAATCTCAGTACAGGGCTAGACTTGGAGGTTTTAAAACTGACCCTGTTGCCTTTTTTTTTCCTTCTTTCTATTTGCATATCTCCCTGCCCGTATTTCCAGCTGAAGAAGAAGCAAGTGTATGTCGATAAGGTAGAGAAAATGCAGCAGGCCCTAGTGCAGCTCCAGGCAGCCTGTGAGAAACGCGAACAGCTGGAGCATCGACTCCGGACACGTTTGGAGAGGGAACTGGAATCCCTTAGAATCCAGCAGGTACTGTGTGACTTCCTGGGAATAGGCAGGGATGATAGATCAGTGCAATGATTCTGCCCCCGTGTATCTTAATGAGCCATATGCTTATTAGGGTTACTTACAGAAATACTGGAGAGGGGCTATTACAGATGTGTGGGTGACTCAAATGCAGCTGGAAAGCTTGGCCCAGCATGGGTGGATGACTCACAATAGCTGAATCTCTAAAGATCCCCCTGACCAACATTCAGGCTGCTCCACTAATCAGAATTTTTTCCTCTCCTGCAATTGTTACTGCTTATACATCCTCCGGGAGGGGACTTATAAATCTTGTGTTAGGTACCTCAATATTGCTTACTTCTTGAGGCTCATAAGTTCCATTTATTTCCCAAGTCTTACCTACCAGGTATGGAACGAAGGAAAGGAAGAAAAGAAATGCCATTACTCCTGCGTGTTTATTTTTTTTAAGTTGATGCTTGGTAAAAACACTAAAGGCATTTAAATGATTTCTCATCGTTACATTTTCACTACCTCCCCATGTTACTGCAGAAGGCTTTTCCAGTATAAACACAAAGCCTACCGACTTCCTTAGCTTCCCATTCCAGCAAAATCCATCATAGTATCTTACACCTTTTATTTCTCACGAGAACTGGAACAAGAAACCCTCTATGAAGTGAAACAGCTACACACCTACAGTCTTAGATGTTTTGGGATCTTGGGCAGATTTTCTGTTTTGTTTTACTTTGAGACCAGGTCTCATGTAGTCCAGGCTGGCCTCCAGCCCAGCTGGAAGTGGTCCTTATCCATCTTCTGATCATAATACTTACTGGATTTCGAGGAGGAAAAAAAAATGAAGAACCCTACCCCCACAAAATATTGCACAACTCACCAAAGAGCTCATAAATTAAGGACAGTTTGGGATTCAAATCACAGATTTAAAATTTTCCATTTTCCATTTCCCTTGTGCAGTTTTTATTTCATTGATCTAATTTCTTGACAACATAACAATTTGACAAGGTAGATTCTTGTTCTGATCAAGGGAGGTTCATATTGCAAACCCAAGTCCTGTGGCGATCTGAATTCTTCCTTGTTTTGAGCCAGAATCCAAACCAAGAGCTGAGGTTGGGATTAGCTTAGTGATAGAACACTTTACCAGGGCTCGCAGCACTAAAAAAGGATCTTCAAATAGATTGAAGCCTGGAGATACAGCTCAGTGACAGTGCTTTCCTAGCACGCACAAATCTAGGTTTGATCTCTACTACTATGCAAACAAACAAAAGAGCTTGGGCAGTCTCTTCCTTGTAAAAATGAAAGCTCTTCAAATTGGATTTGGTAGGGGAGCTATGACAGGGGATTCCTAAGTTTAAGGCCAGCCAAGGCTACAGATTGAGATCCAATCTTAGAAAATCAACATTATTAAATAGATAGATATAAATAAGCAAACAACAACAACAATAATAATAATAGTAAATGAACTTCAAGTGGACTCTGGGCACCATGGTTGTTCTTTCACTAACTTGAAGGGTCTTGGTGTCTCCCTCCACAGCGCCAGGGCAACTCTCAGCCCACCAGTGCTTCAGAATACAATGCCGCCGCACTGATGGAGCTCCTTCGGGAAAAGGAGGAGAGAATTCTTGCCCTGGAAGCAGATATGACCAAGTGGGAACAGAAGTATTTGGAAGAGAATGTGATGAGACATTTTGCTCTGGATGCTGCTGCAACTGTGGCTGCACAGCGGTAAGTAGTTGCTAGTAGGGGCCACTAGCTGAAAGAGGACAATGGGAAAACCAGGTATGGAAATTCATTCTGACATTTCCCAATGCTTAGTCTCCTTTAGTACTCTGTTTGTTCCCCCTCCAGTGTCTCCTCAAACAGATTTTCTTTCTTCCAAATATACATGGACTAGATGGCTTTGGGGATAAAGGTATAAGGACTTCAAATAGTTTTCTCTATGGTCTTTTTGGAACCATAATTGAGTTTGCCTCAGCAAACTGGAACATTGCAGGTAGACTTAGCAGCTAAGTGTTTGGACACCCCCCCATTAGCTATAGATGCCTTCAGCCACGTGTGCATGTTGTTTAATCCAGCGAAATTCCACTCAGAAAGTAAATGTCACTCAGGAGTAGCTGCTGCCATTTGATAGTTCTGGCTCTTCCTGGGTGTGTGCCCAATTTGAATCCATCACTGGCCTTTGAGAAGGTCTATATTTGATGGCCACATTCTCTGTGTTCCTGAGCTCACATATAGTTAGTCTCATTTTATCTGGTACAGAGAAAAAGGCAAGAGAAATGTTATTTCTGATTTCTTAGGCACCTTCTTTGTGTATTATAAAAGCTAATAACTATTTTTTCTATGTTGCTGGATAGAACCTGCATGTAGACTTGAACACTGAAGGTCATACAGAGTATATTGCACCCAAGCAGGCTTCTGTCCAGAAAGTTAATAGAAACAGTAGTAGTTTTGTCCTTACATTCTTTCAAATGCAGTACATCAGTAGAGTGCAGCACTTGCTAGACATTGGGCAGTGATAGGTGTGGGGGATGTTATCAGTGTGCAAGATGGACTGGCCCATTCTCAACCTGCTCAGGATTCTCCCAACGTTCTTCCATCCTCTGTGTGATCATCCTGGCTACAGATAACCTTATACCTGTAAAGGACTGAAGCTATCTTTGGCCTGATCTTGAGGTCTTCATGAGCTGATGCTTCCCTGGCTTTGTTTCCTGAGAAAAGCATGCTTACTAAAAGTCAGTTTCATAATGGTGTCCAAGGAAACTCCAGCTGTGTCAGAAGGTGGTCACAAGGCGATCACAAGGCTTGGGTACAGATTTGAAGCAGAATGTAGTGTCAAATTGCCTACAGGTTCCCAAAGAAGTACAGGACTTGTTCAGAGTTATTTGTGAATACCTAGCTGTGGTGAGCCAGGGAGATGCAGGATAACTTTGTCAGTTTTATGCAGATGAATGATACAGCTTGCAATGGTGCAGGACATGAGAAAATGCTAGAAGGCAGTAGCTTGGGGCTGACAACAGATTGGATTCCAGGGCAAAGTACAAGAAAGTCAGAAAGATGCTTGGCACGAGGAATCTTATATAAAGACAGAACACCCATTCCTCCTCCTCTCTTGAAAGCATTATGTAGTGATGAATTCCCTTGCAGATCTATGTCCAAAATATGTTGGCTTCCATAAAGTTTATTTGATTTAAATTGAATTGCTTTGTTTTACTAGGTAGTAAGTGTTCACATAATTACTGTTTTCAGCAAAATATGCATGATTATCATTTAATATGAAAAAACACAGCCCGTTCCTAGTGTTCCTAACTAATAGGAATGCCTTCTACTAGAGGCAAGCATTCCAAATCTGGGCTGTTTGTAACTGATACAGACAACAGGAGAGAATGAGAGAGAGATTATATCGGAATTCCCGTAACATAAATGAGCTAGACTAGATGAATCCTCCAGATCCTTCTATTAAAGATTTATAGTATATTTATGGAGACAGTATCATTGCACTTTGCTATGGAGAGTGGTTCCCTTTTCTTCATTTTTCATTACATGATAAATTTGGGGAGTAACAGACAGAAAATGTTATTTCTTAACTTATAGGCTTTTCTGTCTAACTTGCCAAATCTCTTCACATTCCTTCTCCATTTGTTACCTTCCTGCCAGCCAGCCTAAAGAGAGACATGAAGCGTCTGCCCCGGGACCCCTATTTGTGGTGTAAAGCTTCATATATCCTTATATATATTCTTTCATTCAATGCAATTTTAAATGCCTGGAATACTGGCTGAAGATGGAAAGTACTCAAAATTTAAGGAAGGAAAGAAGAAAAATGGGGGGGGGGGCAAAGAATGAAGGCAAGGTTGCAGGGAGAGAAAGAATTTAGTTCTAAATGTGTAACTTATATCCCCCAATTTAATTAGTACTACATTTTCACATTCTGTCTAGTGTCTGTATTCTGTCAACATCACAATGCAGAATAATCTAAACCTCACAGGTCTTGACAGGTAGCTCACAGGTAAGTGACATATGTCACAATTAAGTCACCTTGTTTGCATGATATCAGTAGTAGCTATAAGTGACTGCATTTTTTCAGTGAAAATATTAGTCAACACAGTTAAGACTAATCACTTCAAGTGTAAAATTGGATGAATTTTGGAAAATGAATACAACAGTGGAGCTACTACCAAAATCAAAATAGAAGACACATTCTCACATGACCCTATGGCCCTAAACTTGATGCTTTCCTCCCTAGACAATGACTCATCTGGTTCTTGTCAATATAAAAGGAGTTGTATTGTGTTTGCACTTTTTGTTTTACTTCTTGTGTTCAGCATAATTATTTTGAGCCTTCCAATTGCATGTATGTATTAATAGCCCATACCTTTTTATTTCTGTGTAATGTGCCATATAATGGATACATCATAGATTATTTATCCATCCACCTCGTGATGGCTATCTGGATTATTTTCAGTTTGGGACTTTTAGATATAATAAAATACAAATTTTAATGTAATAGTAAAAAACGTTTATTTTCTTGGATTAGAAGTCATACTAGAGTGGTCTTTTTATACCCTTTCTAGTACTTTGATTCTGACTAACCTTTTGCCAAGGGAAAGCTGTTGATGATACAATTTTTTGAAGAAGGTATAGGGGACTAGAAGTGTTCAGTAGTAGACAGTGATACTGATCAGAAGTGCACCACTTGAGGTGGTGGTGGCAATGAGCCTTATGTCAGTACAACAGGGGGCCAGGGAGAAAGGCTGTGAGTTCAAAGTCAGTTTAGGCTACATAAGATCCTGTATAAAATAAAAATAGTATTTGACATTTAATATTTTTTATCCCAAGGATTCTAGAAAATGTATTTTCTTTGTCAAAAACCAGGCAGTGTTCTTCAGAGAACTTTAAGCTTATAACTTGTACTTCCAATGCTCAAAGGCACGTGCTGTTATCCATTCAACTCTCAGGCACAGAATAATTGTATCATCTAGAAGCCCATACTAAAGGACACAAGAACCAGAACCTAATATTTTATCAATTTAACTGTCTCCTACATGTGTGGCTCAATGCTGGTGAACTTGTTATCACTAGTTGTTCAATAAAGTATTAGTTGAGGCTTATTACTTAGGCACCTGGAATCTTTATAACAAATGCACCATCAGTCTCTGCATTCAGGCTCCAAGTTACTGTGTCTCTCGAGAATCTAGGGGCTTAACGTGATAAATGGAAATCCCTACCAAGAAGCTCTTGTTCATTCCCAGAAGCCCAGATTTGGCAATACAGATTTTGTGTTTGAGCTCATAAATGGTGAATATGCCTGAAAAACAGCAAAAAGATAATATGATAACGACCCATCAACCATGCAGTCTGTTACATTGAATTTACTGAATTGGGTTGTTGTGCTTGGAATGTGTCTGTTTTATACTGGGAAATGTAAGCCCACAAAAGGAGGTAGTAAAGTAAGAAAGGGCAGGAAGAAGACACACAGCTCACATGGGTATTTTTTCCTTCCTTAATAATGGCCTTTATCGGCTTCCATATTCTACTTCTCAGTCTGTATTCTGTTATAGTTACCTTGTTGTCTACCGTGCCTTCTCTGCAAAATGCTGTAATAGTAGTTCTGACATTTCTGAGATTAAACTTTGGATCTTGTCTTATGATTGTTCTCAAGACAACTCTCCAATAATTCTGAAATATAAAGTCATCAGCACTTTCCAAAAATTCTCTCCTTGATTTCCTGTGTGGCAGCAAACAATATTCCATGATTTGAATTACAATCACAGTTCTTATTTATTCTTTCACTTCCCTGATTCTACCATTGACATGGTCTCCAAGTTCAATCCCACCTACCTCCTCCATTTCCCATTTCCCTGGCTACATTACTGGTTTGTATTTTCACTATTGCCTCGTGGGATTACTGCAGTCACCTTCCTAGCTGGTCTTCTTGATTCAAGTGCTTCTCTCTTCTGGTCCATCCATCCCATTTCCGCAACAGATAGTGCTATTGTCCTAAAGCTTGGCACAGTTCCTTTCATTCCCCCACAGAAAGCTCTAGTAATTTTCAGTGCCCATTAGACTAAAGTCCAAACTCATTCCTGTAGTGGTTAATTATTTACCTTTTGTCTTCTCTTGCAAGTTTCCTGAAGCCGGGAGCTAATCATTTCCACGTGTTTCTCCCCTCGGCCTCCCACAATGTTCCACTTATGGTAAAGTTCATGTATTAAATAAGTAGCAGAATGCTACCCATAGGAAAAGATAAAGCATTTTTATTTATTGATTTAAAAAAACAACTATTTTTGATCATTTGAGGCAGGGTCTCACTATGTGACCTTGCCTGGCCTTAAGGTCTTGAACTCGTAGTGATCCTCCTGCCTCAGCTTCCTCAGTGCTAGGATTATAGGCATGAATCACCACACTAGTCAAGATGAAATTTAAATGCCTGTTAGGTGTTTTAAGTAGGGCTGGGCTGTGGTGGCACACGCCTTTAATCCCAGCACTCAGGAGACAGAGGCAGGCAGATCTCTGTGAGTTTGAGGCCAGCCTGGTCTACAGAGCGAATTCCAGGACAGCTTCCAAAACAATACAGAGAAACCCTGTCTCAAAAAACCAAAAAAAAGTCATTTTAATTAGGAGGCCATGAGTGACAGTCTCTTACTGTAGTTTGGATTATGCTATCAGAGAAAAGAACAGATAATTTTTGAGCTGCTGACAAACATCTGTCACATTTAAGACTTTGAGATGATGGTATATCAGGTTCATGGGTGTGTGTCTTAGGCTTTGCATGCTGTTTTTCATACTGCAAGCAGCATCTCCTGATATTCTTGAAGGCAGTCTCAGAGTACTGGAACTTGCTCTTCAAATGCTGTACTAGCTTGCATTTGCAAAGCCATTGGCTTCATAGTCCTAGTCTTCTACAAGGAAGATTAATATTGAGGGCTGTCCTGGCAGGCCGATAGGAATTCACTAAGTGCCCCACATTTTCAGGCTCCATTCCTGATGAGTTCACAGTGTCCATATCAATTAGTTGGCAGGGCTCTGTGTACCCAAACTGGTCTTTTATGCAATGAAAGTGGCAGTAGGCCAGTACTAGTTCCCCCAATGACAAACTGTACGTTCAAGCCCCCAGTGTCTGTAGACACCATGCACTTTTCAAGAGGCTTGGCTCTAAAGTGTTTGCCTTCAGTTTCCCTTGGCACTGTGTTAGGGCAGGAATGGCCTCCAGGACCAAGGAGTAGAATGGTTTTTTTTGTAGGGTGTAGAATGTTTTAAAGTCACACTCGCTTTTTGTTATTCTCTACCTATATACTTCTAAATATTAAAAGCATTGTTGAAGTGTTTTTATTGTGCCTGATGGTATATGTTTTTAACATGAATAAGTTTATTTTGAGCCGGGCGTTGGTGGCGCACGCCTTTAATCCCAGCACTCGGGAGGCAGAGGCAGGCGGATCTCTGTGAGTTCGAGGCCAGCCTGGTCTACAGAGCTAGTTCCAGGACAGCCTCCAAAGCTACACAGGGAAACCCTGTCTCGAAAAACCAAAAAAAAAAAAAAGTTTATTTTGTATAAAGTGGAAGGAGATGTCATTTCAATTGTCGTTTTGATATGAGGAAGAGTAAGCATAAAACATGTTAACTGACTTTCAGATATCATATCAGCAAGTTTGTTAGTGGCAGAGTATTTGTGGAAGCTGAGACTTTATCCCTGGGCTGGCTATAGTAAAAGCCTTGATATCAAGTAATATGCAGTACTGGTTCCTGTCACACAGTCCAGTAGGATTGTGAACAAGTGGATTGCGTAGAATTTGGGGATGTTAAAATAGTGTGAATTTGGCAAATGATGAGAGTGACTGTATCCCTCCAACTTCTTGCCAATTCCAACAAATGGGTGTCAACTTGGCAAATAAACTATAAGCATCGGCACAGCATTGGCTTTTGCAGAGGCCTACCAAACTTCTCCAATCTTAATGTTAGCTGACCACCTATTCGTTCCCGTCATTATATTACACCAAATGTGTATTCATCATAATCTCAATGCTAGGAGAACGTAGCTGTCTAGCTTCCAGCAGATACTATGCCTAGGATCTGAAAGAAGTACAGTGAAGCAGGGACAGTTCATTCTTCTAAAGTCTATTTTCTCCATTTCCTTTGTAATCCCATGTATGTCTTCCCTTAATCATGATATCTATGTATTTCCCTTAGTCCTCATCTCTATTTCCTTATCTTTTGCCTCTTTTCCCCTCCCTGTCTCTGCCTCTGCCCTTCTCTCCTATGCACACATGTTTCTCCTTATTAATAGTGATTGATTTAATAGTTTGAGACAACTTCAGGTGGAAGGTGATGACCCCTTGCACAGTAGGGACTCTGGCAAGAGAACAGCCATTTAGTTGGTATAAGCTCGTGCATTCAGCATGGTCCTGACATAGATTAGATAAAGAAAAAAAAACAGTACAAGGTTAAAGACCCTTTTTGTTAGTTCAAGCGTCCAAACTGATTTGAACTGTTTATGTGTCTGTTTGTTTCTAGCCCTCGTATGTAAATGACACTCAACTGTCACAAATCCTACTCAGAAACCCTCTGATTTTCTTCAAAATGTAACCTTGTCCATATTCCTCTTGCTGTTTGGCGACCTAAAATCTTGAATGGGACGAGCTGCTAGGAGGTTTGGGGAGAGCTGCTTATCTAGTTCTGTAAAGCCAGTGTGTACACATTTTTACCAAATCCCCTCTGACTTTAGCAGCTATGTCCATGCCGGTGCATCTTCCACCCTAAAATTTTAGGCTAGAGAATACCATCTATTGATTTCGATGCCTGCTCATCACCATTACTACCCGTTTTCCTCCTCAGAGACACAACTGTCATTAGCCACTCTCCTAACACCAGCTATGACACAGCCTTAGAGGCCCGCATCCAGAAGGAAGAGGAAGAAATCCTGATGGCCAACAAGCGCTGCTTGGACATGGAGGGAAGGTAAAATCTGGATGTGGACACAGATGGGTTGAGAAGTTGATACTGAGACCAGCTAGATCAACAGAGAAGGACAAGAAAGTTTATTCAGAAGTGATGAACTTGATTTTGTAGCCTGCTCCCTCACCCCTCCATTTTCACCCCTGCTAGTCGGTTACCTAAGGTTTGATGTGATGACTTATAATGAACATTCTTATTGACTAAGTAATTCCAAGTAGGGTTGCTTTCCCCTGGATTTTGCGTTTTGCTAGATCTGAGTTTTTCACATTACTTCTGAGGTATTCTTCATAGCACAACAGCTCAGTTCTGTAATACAGCCAACTTCACAACAAAACATCTGTTTACTTTGGGAAATCCAGCACCCAATGTCTTTTTTAGACTTGGTGTCACTTACTTATTACCTGGACATCATGTTTTAATAGAAGACTGTATCTTCTCACTGAATTTACTGTTACTATGGAAGAGCTCCTTCAGCAAAGAATGACTTCTTTCCTATATAACCTTTCTGTTTGTGAATATTTGACTTTTAATTTTCTCATGTGTCAGCAGAAGCTCTTAGATGTTCTCTTGCATCTACTTGGCAGTCCAGGGCATGCGTTATTTTTTCTTTAAAGCTCTAACATACTGAGCCTTCCCTCCAACTCAGAATGAACTAGACCAACACTTTCTTGACAAGATAATGGGAATGCAAACCCACTTAGGTGGTGAGATCAGAATACGGAGGTAGCTTTCTGTTTGTGCTTTCTCTTTGACTTTTAGGATTAAGACCCTCCATGCCCAGATTATTGAAAAGGATGCCATGATCAAAGTGCTGCAGCAGCGCTCCAGAAAGGAGCCAAGTAAGACAGAGCAGCTGTCATCCATGAGGCCAGCGAAGTCTCTGATGTCCATTTCCAATGCTGGATCGGGCTTGCTTGCCCACTCATCTACCCTGACTGGTACCCCCATCATGGAGGAGAAGCGAGATGACAAAAGCTGGAAGGGGAGCCTAGGTAATGAAAATAAGAGCAAACGAGGACGTGCACGGTGACATACTTAGAAAGTGTCCTCCCTACATTACACACAGCAAGGGAAAGAGACAATAATTCAGGTTCTAGAGAGGAGAATTTGGGGTTGCTTTTTCCCCTGGTGGTACTAGCTGCATGGCCAGGAGCTCTGAAGTCTCATGGTAAGAATATTAATTGAGGCCAAAAATGAGAATCCTGAGTTCTTTGGGGATTCAAGGAAAATAACTTGAATCTTCTGTGAAAAATTCTCAGAATTAGCTTTTGCCACACAGGAACTTTGTCCAAATATCAAAAGGACTTCATTGCAGGCAAAATTCAGAATTACAGCCTCACTGTGTTCCTTCCTCCCCTACAGAAATAGGATCCAAAGTTCTCTTTAAGCTAATAGGGTGAGGTGGCAGCTCTTGTTACCAGAATGTTCCGATATGGGAACAGAATGTGCTTTTTCTTTCAATTCCTGTCCATTTCACCCCCTCTAATTAAAGCCTCAGAGGCCCATAGATACTGAGACACATTTTTGAACCGGAGGAAACAACCAAATATATATTTCAAATCTTTTGTTTTTAATGCCTTTCTTGGTCCTCTGACACTTGCAGTATCCTTTAAGTTAGAATAAACACTCTGGAAGGCACTGTCATGTTTAGCACTGTAGTTACACAATGAAAAAGCACTCTCATGGACATCCACAGGTACCCCATACTCCTGGATTATTTTCAGCTCTCTGGTAATGTGGGGTATTAACGTTACTGGAACAGAAAAGAACTCGGACATGTTGGTCTGCCATCATCACCAATGGGGGAAAAATCTATCAGGTACCAAGGACAGGATTAGTATGTTGTGTTAAGAACTGAATAATGAAGAAAAGAAGGGATCCTCTAAGTCCAAAACCAACACTAGAGGAAAAAACAAACACTTTTTAAAGAAAAATGTCAAGTATTTTCTTTTCCTGAATTCTGACAAGGGTGAATAGTAAATCAGTATTTAGATTGGAATCACCCCCTTTCCTCTTGTTCCTTGTTTCATTGGTAGGCATTCTTCTGGGTGGAGACTATCGCGCTGAGTCTGTCCCATCCACTCCTTCGCCGGTGCCACCATCTACTCCCCTGCTCTCGGCTCACTCAAAAACAGGCAGTCGAGACTGCAGCACCCAAACCGAACGGGGATCGGAATCATCCAAAACCGCAGCTGTCCCTCCCATCTCTGCCCCAGGGGCTGTTCCAGTTGCTGCTGCTGCCACTGCTGCTGCCATCACTGCAACTGCTGCCACCAACACTGCCACAGCTGCCACCAACACCAATATCATGGTAGCTGCTGCTCCAGTTGCTGTTGCTGCCGCTGCTGCTCCAGCTGCTGTTGCCGCTGCTGCCCCGTCTCCGGCAAATGCTGCTGCTCTTGCTGCTGTCTCTCCGGCTGCTGCTCTCTCTCCAGCTGCTGCTGTCTCTCCAGCTGCTGCTGTTCAGATTCCAGCTGCTTCATCTCTTACTTCTGCTACTGTTCCTCCCACTCCTGCTGCTGCTGCTGCTGCTGCTGCTGCTGCTACTGCTGTTCAGGTTGCTCCAGCTGCTTCGGCTCCGGTTCCAGCTCCCGCTCCGATTCCGGCTCCAGCAACGGCTCAGGCTTCTGCTCCGACTCCGACTCAGGCATCAACTCCAGCTCCGACTGCATCTCCTACTCCAGCTCCGACTCCAACTCCAGCTTTGGTTCAGGCTGAGGGTCCTGCAAGTTCTGGACCACGGCGTTTGTCCACACCAAATCTGATGTGCAGCCCAGACAAGCCAGGTAATCCCAATTTTCCATGCCAGGTATCTTCTGGTTTTATTCTCAGGAATAGATATATTAGTTGGCGCCTGCCATTTTGACAGAGTTGAATGTTTCATGATGTAATAGGGATTGGGCAGAGGAGAGAAAAGAGCTTCTAGAAATGCTTTCTCTCATTCACTAAAATGGAAATGGTCACGAGTGGCCATTATCCCAGTAAAGTAATGATGGGAATGTACCTAGTTGCACTGTTTGAAACTTTTGTTTTTCACGTTGTCTCTGAGTTGTCTCTAACCTCTCTCATTTCCATTTAGATGGTCCTGCTTTCCACTCCAGTACTCTGGAAAGAAAAGCACCCATTCAGATCCTGGGTCAAGAGCCTGATGCAGAGATGGTGGAATATCTCATCTAAATGGCATAATCAAGAGCTGAAGTTATCAGCAAGAGTTCTTTTAACCACTTTTCCCCTTTCGTTTGTCTAATCTGGGGTGATGATGGGGTTGGGAGGTGGGGGTGATTTTTTAAAGGGACTTTTTATTGGACTCTTGTAGTACTTAATACCATGAGAATTCCAGTCTATTTTTGGAATACGTAGGGAGTACCTCAAAATGATAGGTTAAGCCGAATATGCTCTAAAGCTTATTGGTGGGATTGTTACGATAATGGACTATTAACAGGTAGTGATGCCCATTGATTTAAAATGTTTCCATTTGTCTCTCGAGTGCCCAATTTGAGGTCATTTTTCATTGAAGAATACAGTATGTGTGGAAGGCAGTTTGGAACATGTCGTTCAGAAGTGGAAATCCAGAGAGAGTTTGAGGCCTTGCGGCTTTGTCTAACTACATCCCAGTCAACAGCCACAGAAAGTTCTCACTTTGAGCTGGGAAAAGACAATGTTTTTTAGGAGCTTTGAAAGCTGGAGAAAAGGAAGAGAGTATTGGGATTAAGAAGGGTGCTGGAGCCAATTTTCTCTCCCGGTTGCCAGTTACCCTGCCCCCTCATATTGATGGTGTTTATCTCCATTTCAGTGGTGCTTTGGAAGTGGATTCTTTTGGTTCCCTCCTGGAGGTTCATACATTCATATATATCCTCTGGAATAATTTATGCATTTGGATAATTAATATATTGCTTTCCGATGGTAGGAATGTAAATGAACAGAGCAGTGCGTGACTTCCTCTCTTAGGGAGCTAGTTGTTAGAAGCCTTGATGGGGGCTTCATGAGATGCTGCATGCCAACTTCAGTGGTCGGGGAATAGTCGTGAATATGGCTCAGTCACCTTGAATGAGACCAGTTGACTGACTTAGCCTTTATTTCTTCCACAACACAGATTCACTGGCTGACTCGCCGGTCTTTGTTTGCCAATAATTTGCAAAACGAGGAAACATCTTTTATTTGACAGGTTGAATGTGTTGAATTTCAGCCTAATACTTGGGAAATATTTCATTTTTGTTTCCCCAAATTCTTAGCATGTGCCTTCAAGGCATATGCAACTGTCACCTCCATGAAAATAACACAAGAAGTCCAAAGTACCGGGCTGCAGTCAGGAGAGAGGTTGATTGCAGCAATCTCCTCAACTACCTCTTCTTACTGTCAGTGACTCTATCTTGGACTCCCCTTGGGAAGTAGCTGGGAATGTATACGTGGATACATGGGAGGGACCGAACAGGGAGCCTTGACACAGGGCTGCCTCTAAGGACACAGAGGCTGCCAGCTGTCACGGGTCCTTGTCTTTAGTCTCTGCCCTTCATTGAGGTAATAGAACTGCAGATAGTATCACTAAGATCAGTTTTCAGGGGTATAGGGAGGGTAAGGGGAGGGGGACTATTAGGTAAAGGGGAGTAGGGTTTAGTGATAGGTTAAGTTAGAGATCAGATTGATAGAAGGGTAGCCTGTATATTATGTCATGGGCTTTAGTGATGGGAAGGAAGTTTATCTAGCAGTGTATCTCTGCCTTCTAACTTTAGTGATGAGGAAACTGAGACTTGGAAAAGTTTTGTGACTTTTTCAAGATCACACAGCACATCTGTCTCTTCTGACAATTACATGCCCATTTTGGGGAAAATGGGTATCTATAAAGAAGAGCCCATTTTGAAGAAAAGGCATCTTCCTAGTCTAGGGTATGCCTACTTTATGAAAATCTTCTTGATTTAACTAGATTGTTTGTGGTTCTGAATTTTTGTCTTGTCTCTGCTGGAGTGCCTTGTATGGAATTGTTCTTTTCCTCATGCCACTTAATCATTGAGCTATATGAAATGCACCCCTAAGAAATCAGCTCAACTGTTTTCACTATAAAACTGGTGTCTTGGGTCATTTTATGTATTCCTCTGTGAGCATAAGAGTGCTATATTTACCTGTATTCTTGTGTAGTTCCTAATTACCTTCCAAAGGATTTATTTGTGTGTGTGTGTGTGTAGATGAGGGAAGGCAATACAACAACTTTTAACTAGTTGTTCACATTATTAATATCAAAATGATCATCCAATAGATTGGTCCTCAGTTAAATAGTAAATGTCAAATGGAAATTTGAAAGTGCAGTCATGGTAATAATGCTTATTCACACCGTTTTTTGTTGGAAGGAAACAAACCTTCAGACAGTAGAAGAATCAGGCAGTAAGCACCAGGAGAGCAAAGGAATGAAAATAAAAGAAAAATTTTATGTCCTCTCCTGATGATAGTACATTGCTAGAATTTGGGTTGACTCTGGGAGCCGTGATCTGTAAAGTGAGAGATGTGATACATTCCTCACTGTGTGGCAACCATCTCTTTAGAATCGTGTGTTTGGGAAAATAAGGAAGTCCTTGCTGAAGTTCTATTTTGAACTTTTCAGAACCTCTGGCCTGCCACACTAGAGATAGTCATTCTGTTCAATTTTCAGTCCCAGGCAATTTGCTACAAGGACACTGTACATCTAAGGATGGATGAAGACTATGTTGGTACAGTCTGTTTATAGACCATACAGTCTACCTTTGAGAACATTTCTACTAGACATCAGTTTTAAAATTCAGTTATGGGATGACTCTCAATGTAACCATCTCTTCACTGATGTGTGGATGTAACATTTGGAGCCTCTTCCTGGCCTTCCTTCTGTCTGTAGTAAAATGTAAGCCTTTTACTGGCACCCCAGAAGATGAGGGAGACATTTGTTGTCTTAACTTTTACTGTCTCGTGGTTTATGAGGATCTTATAATTCATTTGTTGCTGGCAATGTCCCATGTCCAGCAACATTTCATTTGATTGAACTATACTTGATACAAAACTGTTAACATTGTTGGGAAAGTAAAGTCAGCTTGAACTTTCCCTGAAAGTCATGTATTGTGACTGTTGTCTTAATGAAGGTTTTCATTTCAGTGTTGCTTTTCAGCTGCAGGGTAAAGGGGTAGTAGAAACTTGAAGCATCTGCCATATCTGTGACAGGAAATAGAGCAAGATACCTGTCGTGTTCTCCTTTTACTTTTGCACTGTTGAATGGGTCTAACAAACTGGTTCCTAAGCTACTCTTTATGAATAATCTAAATAATGTGGCAGCTTAAAATATAGATGTGTGTGCTAACTTTAATCAATGCTCCTGTCTGCTAGCCATACAATCTGTCATCGTAAATGCCCATTCATACATGGAATATGTTACTTAAAATGTTTTCCTTCTTCTGAAAATGTTTGCAAAGGGAGGTATTGACTGTGGGTTCATTGTTACCAATTTCTGCCTGCCACAACCTTTAGAAATTCTTCTTCCAAGTGCCACCACTGACAGTAGGACAAGGATTGGAAGCATGTACATTTTCTTCTGGTAGCAAGGGTGGGTTACAAGGAGCTTTCAAATCTCCTTCTGACCACCTTTGTTATTTAAAAAAAAATGCCTAGTTGGGGTTGGCAGATGGTTCGAGAATTACTTTTGGTTTAATATACGTGCTCTTATAGTGGTTGTGATCCTCTTCTGTAATCAAAAGAGCCAGATCAAATAAAGTTAAGCAGGTTAAATCCACTTTGTGCCTATCTTTTCACTGACAATAAAGTTAGCTGTTTGAAAATGCACCCTGTGTGGAAAATGCTTTGGTGTTTACTGGATATGGACTCTGTGTGATGTTAGTAATTACTTTCAATTCAGTACACAATGGAATTGTTTTGCACCAGCAGCAGCAGCATTTGCATTTGCTCAAAGTATGGGAAGTGATTAAAAAGTCTTCAGACAACACAACACAACAGGCAGCATTCTCTAATCAGTCTTTTTATATACAAGTACAATATATAGCAAAAGCCTTTACACCTTTTTGTTTCCTGGTTCTGGAAGATAAAATGATGGCCACCTTAAGCAGATAATTAATTTGGGGGTTATCATTTTGGAAGCCCACCCCCTGCCCGTTTGGGATTCCTTTTGTGACACTAGTAGTTGTAGTTGCATCCATGCACATGCCGGCAACCCTGAGAGGAGATGAGACAAGAGCATGATAATAGGGAGGGAGAAGTGGTGGGCAGGTATAGGAAAAGTAGCAAGGGAGGCAGTGGAGGTGGATGTGATCAAAACACATAGTCAGATATGAATTTAGTTAGCAAATAGAAATAAATCAATAAGGGCACAAACTGTGTCAGTTTGGTCCTCACTAAAAATAGAGCCTGCCTTTCTGCTGCCTTCTCTGCTTCATGCTTACTAGTGAGTTTGAAACTTACTTGGGCAAGAGAGGTTCTGAAAGTACTTTTAAATGACTTGATTGATGTTACAAATGAGATTGATCAGGGACACAGAATTTATCCAACTATAAATATGTGTTGGGACTTTGTTCCCTCCATATATGCGATGAGTTATTTGAAAACTGGATGAAAACCAACCCCTCTTTCATCACAACAGAAAATGGTAATAAATTAGCCACATCTTACAAAGCTTTGCCAACCTGAGCTTTCAGAAATACCTTGTTCCTGGTTTTTACAAGGCTGTGATCCAAGGGCCCATTCGACACATATGGCATCACATATGTAGGAGCATTTCTAAGTAGTGTGATTACTCAATTTGATGTCTTGCCTGGTACTAAACACACCTTGATGTAGGCATTAGCTCCTGGGATCAGAAATCCCATTTCCCACCTTGCCTGCTGCCACCTTCCCCTATAGGAAATTTGGTTTGTTTGTTCATGCTTGCTCACTTGCTTTGAAAAAAACAATGCACATGCTTTCATCTTAGAACATCTACTCTGACTGGTAATCACCTTATATTTGCGGGGAGACCCTCAATGGTAACACCTACTCCCCACCACCTCCAAAAATGTTCCTTTCAATATCTACATTGCATATAACATCACAAGTACTCACTCTTATATGCACCAAATGACCAAGAGTATCTATTTTTTTTACCAAAATATTGTCATTTACCAGTTACCTCTGGATTAAGTGTTGGCATTTTGGGAAAACAATTAGAATACACAATTTTAAGTCCGTAATTCTATGAAATTAGGGAAAATGACACACACACAAATATGGAAGCACAATTAAAATTCATTGCGATACTTGAAATAACAAAACTTTGAACAAGTCAGAACTAGTGAATGGCTGTTGGGATGACTTGAGAGAAACTATTTAGGTGCTAACCAGACAGAGTAGGGCGCCTAGCAAACCTTCCAGGTGAAAGGGTCAGTATGAACAAAGTATATCAAAGGACTATTTCCAAACACAAAGGTCCTAGAAAACTGCTATGACAGTTGAAAATCTGCAGAGTTGAAAAAAAAAACCCTGAAATCCCAATTTGATGCTAGACAGTACTAGTGTGGAAGTCAACAGGGCACTGTGCTTTAGTACTGTCTCTGTCAGTAAACAGACAGTTAGCCATGGGTATGATTTTTGAAGGATAAGAGAGGCCTATCAATAAAATGGGAATAAATGATTAGTTCCTATGTACCTTATGAGAAAACGGCACGAGAGCCACTCAGAATATTAACGATAACAGTCAAAGCAATAAACTAAAACATGGGGAACAGAGGGGATACTGAGTGACATACTGACTCAACATGTATTTTTGGCATGTGTATGGTCGTAGCCCCAGACTCAGAAGAAAATGCAAAACCTGTTCTGGCCCATGTATGGATGTTGATAGTGTGTGCAGAAAATGGCCACCATAGCCACCTCCAGATGTTTATGGCTGCTCTCCTACATAGATTGCTTCTAATGAGATTAAGTAAGTCTGTCTCCTTGATCAAGCTGTATGCCATAAAACCTGCCTCCTTGTTTTTCGTACATAATAACCCCGCCTCCATGTTAGGCTTGATGCAATAATTCCTCTTCTCTGTTTGACTGTATTTAATAAACAGGCTGAGCTTTTGTGGTGCTGTGCTTTCTCCAGCAGACAGTCCAGATGCTGACAGATTTCTGTCTGGTATGTCTGTGTGTTTGTCTTTTCCTCATTCCTTTTCTACCCCACTTGGGTCTGTCCTTGGAGCTATGTTGGATGTGGCAGTAAGGATATAAATAAGAAGTTTCTTTGAATTTTTAATTAAGAAAAATCCAGTGCAAAAATAGAATAGCTGGGGCACTTCAGTGGATACGTTGCTGGACATTAATTAATAGTTAGCAACACATGGTCAGTCTTACTTCATTAATGACCCTTATTCACCTACTTTGTACTTCTTTTGAATCTTATTCCACACACCATAGTACTTTCCCGTAAATTATACTCATAAGGAAGAAATTTTCCCATAGAAAACTTTAACAACTTACACATTAAACAAAAATTTATTAATCACTAAATAAAACATGGCAATATTCATATTTTGGCATGTACAACGCTCCTTAATTTGATTTCACCTGCCTTAACGTAAAACCTATTGTCTCAAAAACATAATAGAGCCAGCTGCAGAGATTACTTGGTGTTTGAGAGTACTTGTTATTCTTGTGAAGGGCCTGGGCTTATTCCTCAGCATCGACATGGTGGCACACAACTATCTGTAACTCCAGTTCTAAATCAATGCCTTCTGAATTCTGCGGGCACCAAGCACACACACACCATGCTCATACATATGTGCAGGCAAACACTCATACACAAAATACATAAATCTTTACATTTTTTAAGACATAGATGTTCATTCTCTGATGATGAATATTTCAAAATACAGGATTTTTTAAGGCTCCCCAATATAGATACCAATCTATTTTTCACTCATACTGTTCTTGTCATCCAGTTGAGTATTCCTTCTTTATTATCTACTGACTTGGTTAGTATCATTTAAATCATTTAGGAGTGGTTCCTGGGTGACAATTACATAACATACCACATATTCAAGTCATTGTTGATCAATTTCTCTCCCTCATTACCTCTATTTAATCTGTTACTGATTCTATCAAAGTAAAGCTCAAATTAAATCAACTTAGTTCCAATTCTTCTAAGAACCTTCTTGTTTGGATTACTGCAATAACCTATTTACTGATCTGCCATATCCACACTTGTTTTGCTTTTCTAGTTACTGCTCAGCAACCAAGTTTATATATCACTTCCTGATTAAAAGGTCTTACAGCAGCTTATCATTGTAATATAAATAAATGTAAGCAGGACCTCCCAAAGCAAAAGTATTTACCCAATGCTTGAAAGTGAATGTATTTAGAGCAAGGATAAAGAAAATTTTGGGTTCTTATTTCATCTAATACCTTGCATATTCTTTTTCTTGTGTTCAAAATCCATGACATTATTTTATTATCACTTTATTTTCCTGATATTAATGTTCAACGATGTTGTAGTTGTTTGTTTTGAGACAGCCAGATTTTCTTTGTAGCCCAGCTGACTTAGAGTCTACAATTCTTTGACTTGTATTTTAACTGATACATAAATAGGTAAAAATTATGCAAGTAAGTTGATATATATATATATTGAAATAAATATGTTGAATAGCTATGTCTATTCCCTCAATAATCTTATATCCTTTCATATAGCTTTTTGAAATGCATAGTATTACCATTCTTGTCATCCTACAACATTTTTACATTGCTAATAGAGCTAAAACCAAAAGTTGCATTTTTAAGCATCAACTCAGACAGTATTGAGTATCCACTACCTGGCCTTACACTTAGACATTTGATATTATAGTTCAAAAGTAAATCCTTGTAAATTTCCTTTTTCTATCCAGCTCCCTTGTGTAACTCCCGAGATCATATAGTTTAAAAAATAATGATTTTCTGGCATTTATTGTTACTTCCTATCTCCCACGTTCTTCCACAATGCAATAGACCCCTATTGTCCCATGACTAAATAGTAAGTTCAACTTGAGTGTTAACTACAATACATTCTCCTACTTAACTGGATATTTTCTTTCCTTCATGTATTCTTGGAAATGGCTGCCCACACTTCTCAACAGCTATGACTCTAAGTAGTTGGATTTACTGCTACTATCAAACACAGCATGTTGTTGGTTACTTTAGTTATTAGTTTACATGGATTATAGTCCTTGAGGCAACTGCAACCACATTTGTGATTTTGCCCAGCTCATTTAGTGCCAGTGACCATTTTGTAATATGAAGTCACTGGATTATGATCTCTAATGTCCTTTCTGGCTCTTACACTACATGATTCCATGAGACTAAATACTGCTTGTGAGGTCAGACATTCTTTCACACAGATCCAAAATGGACTATGAGGCACACATAAAAAATATCCTCAGATCTGGATATAAGTGTTCCATATACCTGCAGATGTGCATTTAAGTTTCAAAATCTTTCCATTAGTTTGGTGCACACAGCACTGTTTCTCCCATTCCGGCTTCACAAATGCCATTCTCCTTCAATGGGAATGATTTTTCATACAAGAGAAATCTGTAAGAATCTCTTTCCTATAAACCTACCACAAGACCCAGCAACTCCACTCTTAGGCAAATATACAAAAAAAAATGCCCATTCATACAACAAGGATGATTTCAAGAGCTGGCTGAAACTGCAAGTCTGAAGTAAATGAGAGGTTCTGGTAATAGAGTACAGAGAGAGAGAGAGAGAGAGAGAGAGAGAGAGAGAGAGAGAGAGAGAGAGAGAGAGAGAGAGAGAGAGAGAGAGAGAGAGAGAGAGAGAGA